TCTTTTTCCTGGGCTTTTCCTGGGACGTTCTGGGTTTTTTCCTGGGACGTTCTGGGTTTTTTCTAAGGAAGTTCTGGGGGGACTTTGTGGGCTTTTTCCTGGGACTTTGGGGTTTCTTTGGGGGAGAGTTTGTGTATTTTTTCTGGGACGTTCTGAGTTTTCTCTGGGACGTTCTGGGACATTAAACCCCAGGGATGTTTCGTCTGTGCCCGCAGCCCCTGGAGGACAGCCTGATTGCCTTCAGGACGCGCTCCAAGCGGCCGCTGAAGGACGTGCCCCTGGGGCAGCTGGAGGCCGAGCTGCGCGCGCCCGACATCACCCCCGACATGTACGAGCCCAGCACGGGCGACGACGAGGAGTGGGAGAGGTGGCTCAGGGGGCTCATGAACGACGACGTGGAGAACGAAGGTACCTGGGAGAGCTTGGGAGGGTCGCCGGTGTGACAAACGGCGTTAATTTGTGTTGAAATTGCCGCATCAGTCGTGTTTAAACACATTCTGAGATGGTGAAACCACCACTTCCCTGGGCAGGCAATTGCAGAACTTGGAACTTGGTGAGAGAGCTTGGTGAGAGAACTTGCTCAGAACTTGGCCAGAACTTGGCCAGAACTTGGCCAGAACTTGCCCAGAACTTGCTCAGAACTTGGGCAGAACTTGCCCAGAACTTGCTCAGAACTTGGGCAGAACTTGGCCAGAACTTGCTCATGAATGATGACATGGAGAACGAAGGTACCTGGGAGAGCTTGGGAGCGTCACTGGTGTGACAAACACCACGAATTTGTGTTAAAATCGCCACATCCAGGCTTAAATGCATTCAGGGTTGGTGGCTCTACCACCTCCAGTGGGCAGGCCATGGCAGAACTTGGAACTTGAGCAGAGCTTGAGTAGAGGTTGGTCAGAGCTTGGTCAAAACTTGAGCAGAGCATGAGCAGAACTTGGTGAGAACTTGGTGGGAACTTGGCGAGAATGTGGTGAGAACGTGGTGAGAACCACTTGGGCAGAACTGGGGCAGAACTTGGGCAGAACGTGAGCAGAACTTGGCCAGAACTTGGCCAGAACTTGAGCAGAACTTGCTCATGAATGATGACGTGGAGAATGAAGGTACCTGGGAGAGGTGGAGCTGGAGGGGTCACTGGTGTGAAAAGCACGATGAATTTGTGTTAAAATCGCCACACCCAGGCTTAAATACATTCAGGGATGGTGGCTCCACCACCTCCAGTGGGCAGGCCATTGCAGAAGTTGGTCGGAGCTTGATCAGAACTTGAGCAGAACTTGAGCAGAGCATGAGCAGAACTTGGTGGGAACTTGGTGGGAACTTGGTGCAAACTTATTTGGTGAGGACTTGGTGAGGACTTACTTGCTCAGAACTTGCTCAGAACTTGCTCAGAACTCGCTCAGGAACGGTGGCATGGAGAACGAAGGTACCTGGTAGAGGTGGACCTTGGGAGGGTCACTGGTGTGTAAAACACCATGAATGGCCATTGCAGAACTTGGAACTTGAGCAGAGCTTGAGTAGAGGTTGGTCAGAGCTTGGTCAGAGCTTGGTTGGAACTTGAGCAGAGCATGAGCAGAACTTCGTGAGAACTTGGGAAGGACTTGGTGAGAACTTGGTGAGAACTTACTTGGTCAGAACTTGGTCAGAACTTGGCCAGAACTTGGCCAGAATTTGGCCAGAACTTGAGCCGAACTTGCTCATGAATGATGACGTGGAGAACGAAGGTACCTGGGAGAGGTGGAGCTGGAGGGGTCACTGGTGTGACAAACACCATGAATTTGTGTTAAAATCGCCACATCCAGGCTTGTTTAAAAACATCAGGGATGGTGGCTCCACCACCTCCCTGGGCAGAGCTTGGTAGGAGCTTGGTTGGAGCTTGAGCAGAGCTTGGTGAGAACTTGGTCAGAACTTGAGCAGAACTCAGTTTGAGCTGTCAGGTTTGTTCTTGTTTCCATAAATACAAAATTCCTCTTTGTGACAGTGAATAAATAAAACTCCTGGCTTGGTGCTGGGGCAGGATGATGACAAAACCTGTTCAGAACCTGCTCAAAACCTGCTCAAAACCTGATTAAAACCTGCTCAAAACCTGATTAAAACCTGCTCAAAACCTGCACAAAACCTGATTAAATCTGTGTAAAACCTGTGTAAAACCTGCTCAAAACCTGCTCAAAACCTGATTAAAACCTGCTCAAAACCTGTTCAAAACCTGATTAAATCTGTGTAAAACCTGATTAAAACCTGCTCAAAACCTGTTCAAAACCTGCTCAAAACCTGCTCAAAACCTGCTCAAAACCTGATTAAAACCTGATTAAACCCTGATTAAAACCTGCTTTGTTGCAGATGAAGCTGATGATGATGATGACCCCGAGTACAATTTCCTGGAAGATCTGGATGAACCAGACACAGAGGATTTCAGGAATGACCGTGCTGTGAGAATCACCAGTGAGTTCCTCAGGAATTCCTTGGGAATTGTTTTGTGGCAAGGAATTTTTGTGGTGCAGGATATTAAATAAGGATTTATTTAATTAAAGAGCTTTTGGCTCTCTGGGATAGTGCTATGGGGGGGATCTGGGCTGAGCTGCTGTGCTCAGCACAACCTGAAAAACAAAATTTAGGTGAAGAACAAAATTTAGATGAAAAACAATATTTAGGTGACAATAAAACCTGAAATTAAGTGATAATAAATTCTGAAAGCTTCAGGCAGTTCAGATTTGAATGTTTGCCTTGTGTTTAAATTTAATTAGATTTTAAAGTCCTCGCAGACTTTAGTTTTATAAACATATCATTTTCTGGCTTTGCAAAAAGCCACACTTGCTTTAGGTCTTACTGCAGATTTACATAACTTTAAATGTAATAATGAATTATAAATATGCAATTGTATAAATATAAAATATATTTAGATGAGATGAAATATATAATATATAAAATATATAAAAATGTATAAAATATATAAAAATATATAATATATGTTATATATTATACATTATATATGGTATATTATACATTATATATTATATGTTATGTATTATATATTATATTATATATTATATATTATATATTGTATGTTATATATTATACATTATATATTGTATATTGTATATTGTATATTATACAATATATATTGTATATAATACCTTATATATTATATATTATGTATTATGTATTATATGTTATGTATTATGTATTACATATTATATATTACATATTATATATTATATATTATACATTATGTGTTATATATTATACGTTATATATTGTATATTATTGTATAATATTGGATATTATACATTATATATTGTATATTATGTATTATATATTATATATTATGTTTTATATATATATATATATATATATATATATATATATATAATATTATGAATATAAAATATGAGTTTTTATGTGATATTTTAAAATCCAGACAATCTCAGCTCAAGATTTTTTTAGGGCCCAGCATTAAAAAAGGAATTATCAGGGGCCTTTCTTTTTTTGGTCCTCTGTTTGTAGGAGGAGGATTTCCCTTTGTGAGAGCAATTCCTTTAATTTTGCTGATATTATGACAGGATTTGCTGAGTGTTTCTTGGAAAAGGCATCCTGATAATCCCTTTTCATTTTCCTTGCAGAAAAGGAGGTGAACGAGCTGATGGAGGAGCTGTTTGAGACAGTAAGTGACAATAAAGTGGCACAAATCAGGGCTGGCAGCTGGCACGTGGCACTGGAGGGTGCTGGGGCGTGCCAGGGGCTCTGCCCCTGCTGGGGCACGTTTGGCCTTGGCAAGGGAAGGTCTGCAGGGATTGCCACGAGTGAGGATGTGCAGGGATTTCCTGACGTGAAAGTCTGTAGGGATTTCCTAAATTGAAGATTTGTAGGGATTTCCTGAAGGGAAGATCTGCAGGGATTTCCTGGAGTGAAGATCTGTGAAGTGGAAATCTGCAGGGAATTCCTGAAGTGAAAGTCTGTGAAATGAAGGTCTGCGGGGATTTCCTGAAGATCTGCAAGGATTTCCTGAAGTGAAGATCTGGGGGGATTTCCTGAAGGGAAGATTTGCAGGGATTTCCTGGAGTGAAGGAAAGTCTACAGGGATTTCCTGGAGTGAAGATCTCTAGGGATTTCCTGAAGATCTGCAGGGATTTCCTGAAGGGAAGATCTGCAGGGATTTCGTGGAATGAAGATCTGTGAAGTGAAGATTTGTAGGAATTTCCTGAAGGGAAGATTTGCAGGGATTTTCTGAAGATCTGTAGGGATTTCCTGAAGTAAAGATCTGCAGGGATTTCCTAAAGGGAAGATCTGCAGGAATTTCCTGACGGTCTGTAGGGATTTCCTGGAGTGAAGATTTACAGGGATTTCCTGAAGTGAAAATTTGCAGGGATTTCCTGAAGTGAAGCTCTGTGAAATGAAGATCTGTAGGGATTTCCTGAAGTGAAAATCTGTAGGGATTCCCTAAAGTGAAGATTTGCAGGGATTTCCTGAGGGTCTGTAAGGATTTCCTGAAGGGAAGATTTGCAGGGATTTCCTGGAGGGAAGATCTGTGAAGTGAAAATCTGCAGGGATTTTCTGAAATGAAGATTTGCAGGGATTTCCTAAATTGAAGATTTGCAGGGGTTTCCTGAAGGGAAGATTTGCAGGGATTTCCTGAAGATCTGCAGGGATTTCCGAAAGTGAAGCTTTGTAGGGATTTCCTGGAGTGAAGGTCTGCGGAATGAAAATCTGCAGGGATTTCCTGAAGTGAAGATTTGTAGGGATTTCCTGGAGTGAAGGTCTGTAGGGATTTCCTGAAATGAAAATCTGCAGGGATTTCCTGAAGATCTGCAGGGATTTCCTGGAGTGAAGATCTGCAAGGATTTCCTAAAGTGAAAGTCTGTGAAATGAAAATCTGCAGGGATTTCCTGAAGTGAAGATTTGTAGGGATTTCCCGAAATGAAGTCTGTGGGGATTTCCTGAAGATCTGTAGGGATTTCCTAAAGTGAAGATTTGTAGGGATTTCCTGAAGGGAAGATTTGTGGGGATTTCCTGAAGGGAAGATTTACAGGGATTTCGTAAAGTGAAGATCTGCAGGGATTTCCTGGATTGAGGGTCTGTGAAGTGAAGATTTGTGGGGATTTCCTGAAGATCTGCAGGGATTTCCTAAAGTGAAGATTTGTAGAAATTTCCTGAAGGGAAGATCTGCAGGGATTTCCTGAAGTGAAGCTCTGTGAAATGAAGATTTGTAGGGATTTCCTGAAGGGGGAAGATCTGCAGGGATTTCCTGAAGGGAGAGTCTGTGAAGTGAAGATTTGCAGGGATTTCCTGAACTGAGGATCTGTAGTGATTTTCTAAAGTGAAGATCTCCAGAGATTTCCTGAAGGGAAGGTCTGCAGAGATTTCCTAAAGTGAAGATTTGTAGGGATTTCCTAAAGTGAAGCTCTGTGAAATGAAGATCTGCAGGGATTTCTTAAAGTGAGGATCTGCAGGGATTTCCTAAAGTGAAGATCTGTAGGGATTTCCTAAAGTGAAGATCTGTAGGGATTTCCTAAAGTGAAGATCTGTAGGGATTTCCTGAAGTGAAGATCTGTAAAGTGAAGGCCTTTAGGGATTTCCTGAAGTGAAGATCTGTAAAGTGAAGGCCCTTAGGGATTTCCTGAAGTGAAGATCTGTAAAATGAAGGCCCTTAGGGATTTCCTGAAGTGAAGATCTGTAAAATGAAGGCCTTTAGGGATTTCCTGAAGTGAAGATCTGTAAAGTGAAGGCCTTTAGGGATTTCCTGAAGTGAAGATCTGTAAAATGAAGGCCTTTAGGGATTTCCTGAAGTGAAGATCTGTAAAGTGAAGGCCTTTAGGGATTTCCTGAAGTGAAGATCTGTAAAATGAAGGCCTTTAGGGATTTCCTGAAGTGAAGATCTGTAAAATGAAGGCCCTTAGGGATTTCCTGAAGTGAAGATCTGTAAAATGAAGGCCCTTAGGGATTTCCTGAAGTGAAGATCTGTAAAATGAAGGCCTTTAGGGATTTCCTGAAGTGAAGATCTGTAAAGTGAAGGCCTTTAGGGATTTCCTGAAGTGAAGATCTGTAAAGTGAAGGCCTTTAGGGATTTCCTGAAGTGAAGATCTGTAAAATGAAGGCCTTTAGGGATTTCCTGAAGTGAAGATCTGTAAAGTGAAGGCCTTTAGGGATTTCCTGAAGGGAGGCTCTGTGCTGAGCAGACCATCATAAGCTTGATTATCCAAAGTTAAATCCCTTCCTTGAGCTCCCTCCTCTGAGCTGCTGCGTGTCTCTGCAGTTCCAGGGGGAGATGGGCTTCTCCAGCATGAAAGATGAGAGGCCAGAAGATGGAGATGCTGTTACAGAGTCCAGGCCAAATTTCAACACCCCCCAGGCCCTCAGGTAGGAGAATTTATTTATTTATTTCTGTCCCGATTTCCTCTGAGGGAAAGCCTCTGTGGCAGCCACCAAAGAGGAAAAGTGTCCTGGCAGCTCAGGGCGCTGTTCTGAAAGCTCTGAGCCGTTTTTCTTCATGGCAGTGTCCAGGCCCAGGCTGGACAAGGCTTGGATCAACGTGGGATGGTGGAAAATATCCTTGCTTTTGTGACTGGATGAGTTTTTGGGTCTGTTTTAACCCAAACCATTCCATTGCCCAAAAATCCCCTTGCGCCTAAACTGAGGGGGTGAGGAGCTGAAACTCCTGAGCTCCCCAATCTTTGGACATTTGGGATTAAATTCATTAAAACAAATTTCCCAGAGAAGCTGTGGCTGCCCCTGGATCCCTGGCAGTGTTGGACAGGGCTTGGAGCACCTGGGATGGTGGAAAATGTCCTTGCTCTTGGCACTGGATGAGTTTTTGGGTCTGTTTTAACCCAAACCATTCCATTGCCCAAAAATCCTCTTGTACCTAAACTGAGGAGGTGAGAAGCTGTAAACGGAGCTGGAACTCCTGAGCTAACTATGGATACTTGGATTAAACACATTAAATCAGATTTTCCAGGGAATCTATGGCTGTTTCTGGGAGTGCCCAAGGCCAGGTTGGACACTTTGGAGCACCCTGGGATGGTGGAAAATGTCCCTGCTCTTGGCACTGGATGAGTTTTAAATTCTGTTTTAACCCAAACCATTCCATGATCCTATGAGAACATTGCCCAAAAATCCCCTTGCACCTAAACTGGAGAGTGAGGAACTGAAACTCCTGAGCTCACCAATATTTGGACATTTGGGATTAAATCCATGAAATCAGATTTCCCAGAGAAGTTGTGGCTGCCCCTGGATCCCTGAAGTGCCCAGGGCCAGATTGGACAGGGCTGGGATGGTGGGAGGTGTCCCTGCCCATGGCACTGGATGAGTTTTAAGATTTATTTCAACCCAAACCATTCCATGGTTCAATGAGAACATTGCTCCCACCAAAAACCCTCTTGCACCCAAACTTGAGGAGATGAGGATCTAACTCCTGAACTCAGAAATCTTTGGGCATTTGGGATTAAATTCATTAACCAGATTTCCAGAGAAGCTGTTTTGTTCCTTTGGACACTTTGGGGCACCCTGGCACGGTGGAAAGTTTCCCTGCCACGGCAATGGGGGTGAAATGAGATGAAATTTCAGCTCCCTCCAACCCAAAGCACGGAATATTTCTGTGATTTCTCTCCAGATAACAATTCCATGTTGCAGCAGCTCAGGAGGAGCTGCGGGGTGGGGGCGGCTCCTCACGCATGGGGCAGAGCAGCTCGAGGCGCGGCTGGCTCTGTTTGGGAAAGGAGCCAGAGCGAAGGCTGGGGGGGCCGAGTGCCGGCCCTGGGCTGGGCAGTGCCACAGGGCCGGGCAGGGCAGAGCCAGCGACAGACTGCCAGGCACGGCCGGCTGCAAAGGGGAGGTTAGCCAGAGAAATGCAGAAACTCGATCTGTAGCATATGTGTTTGGAGTTATATCTAGATTTATATTTTATATTTATATTTTTATATTTATATTTATATTTATATTTTTATATTTATTTATACTTATATTTATACATTTATATATTAATATTTATATTTTAATAATTTTATATTTTATATTTATATTTATTTATATTTATATATTTATATATATTTATTTTTATAATTTTATATTTTATATTTATTTATATTTATATATTTATATATTTATATTTTTATATTTCTATATTTATATATTTATATTTATTTATACTTATATATTTATATATTTATATTTATATTTTTATAATTTTATATATTTATATTTATATTTATTTATATTTATATTTATATATTTTTATATATTAATTTTTATAATTTTATATTTTTATATTTATATATATTTATTTATATTTATATATATTTATATTTATATTTATATTTATATAATTTTATTTTTATTTATTTATATTTATTTATACTTATATTTATATATTTATATTTTTATAATTTTATAATTTTATATTTTTATACTTATATTTATTTATATTTATATTTATATATTTATATATTTATATATTTATATTTATATTTATATATTTTCATAATTTTATATTTATTTATATTTATATTTATATTTTATATTTATATATTTATATTTATATTTTAATAATTTTATATTTATATACTTATATATTTATATTTATATAATATATAAATATATTATTTAAATATATAAATATATATTTATATATTTTTATATTTACTATATATATATATATATATTTATATATATTTATATATACAATTTATATAATATATATTTATATATATAATTTATATAATATATATTATATTTATTTATAATGTATATATATATTTATATATAATATATGCACATTTTATACAATAATTTATGTATGTAAATATATAAATACTTATATATATTTTATATATATGCATAAATTATTTCTATCATATATAATATATATAAATATATTATTTTTGTATATACTTATATATATAATATATAAATATATATTTATATATATTCATATTTGTAATATATATATTTATATATACTTATAGATATAATTTATATAAAATACATTTCATATAATAATTTACATATGTAAATATATAAAAGTTTTTATATATTTGTTTATATAAATTATATATTATATATATAATATATAACAATATTTTATTTTATATATATTTATATATATTTATAATATATAAATATATATTTTTTGTATTTATATTTACAATATATAAATATATATTTTTTATATATCTATATATAATCTATATAAAATACATTCTATATAATAATTTATACATGAATATATAAATATATATATATTTATATATTATACATAAATTTTATATATATAATTTATATATTTATAATACATTAAATATTAATAGATATTATAATTAAATATATATTATATAATATTATAATGAAATATTAAATATTACTATAATAATGTTATAAATAATATAATGTTCTTTTAATAAATAGAAATAACAAAAATATAATAGCATCATTAAAATATTACCAAAATTGTTATAAAATATTTTTGAATATAGAATTATAACTAAATATTTAAAATACATAAATATTTAAATTTTTTAGTATTTTTGAATATTTTAAATTAATTTTTTAATCAAGTAGCAGGGTTTGCATCAGTTTTGGTCTTTCCGGACTCCTTCCAGCTGAAGTTATTGATTAGCACAGGGATGGCAAAACCGAACCCAGATAGAATAAAATATATCAACAATATTCTCAGTAAATAATATATTTAAATTTTTTAAAGTATGAATATTAAATATTTATATAAGTATTTAATATTTATATAAATATTCAATATAAAAAATTAAATATTCTTTAAAAATTAAGTACACTTATAAATAAGTATTTAACTTACATAAATAAATATATAACTTATATAAATAAATATAAACCTAAATTATAAATTCAATATACTTATAAAAAGTTAAATATACCTAACTAGTTTAAAGTTAATTCTATATTAAATATTATTATAATAATATTATGAAATATTATTATGGTGTTTTAATAAATATAAATAACAAAATATAATATTATTAGAATATTATGAGAATTGAGATAAAATATTTTTAATATAGAATTATGAGTAAATATTCAAAATACATAAATATTTAAATTTTTTAGTATTTTTGAATATTTTAAATTAATTTTTTAATCAAGTAGCAGGGTTTGAATCAGTTTTGGTCTTTCCGGAGTCCTTCCAGCTGAAGTTATTGATTAGCACAGGGATGGCAAAACCGAACCCAGATAGAATAAAATATATCAACAATATTCTCAGTAAATAATATTTTTAAATTTTTTAAAGTAAAAATATTAAATATTTATATAAGTATTTAATATTTATATAAATATTCAATATAAAAAATTAAATATTCTTTAAAAATTAAGTACACTTATAAATAAGTATTTAACTTACATAAATAAATATATAACTTATATAAATAAATATAAACCTAAATTATAAATTAAATATACTTATTAAAAAGTTAAACATACTTAACTATTTTAAAGTTAATTATATGTTAAATATTATAATAATATAAAATATTATTATGGTATTTTAATAAATATTAATAATAAAATATTTTAATATTATTAGCATATTATGAAAATTGATATAAAATATTTTAATATAGAATTATAAGTAAATATTCAATATACCTAAATATTTTAAATTTTTTAGTATTTTTGAATATTTTAAATTAATTTTTTAATCAATTAGCAGGGTTTGCATCAGTTTTGGTCTTTGTGGAGACCTTCCAGCTGGACTTCGTATAGAGATGGTAAAACCGAACCCAGATAGAATAAAATATATAATCAGTGATTATATATTTTAATTATATTTAATATATAATTTTATTTTTATATATATATATCTCTATATATATGTATATTTATATTTATATTTAATATATATTATATTTATATATATGAAATATCTATTTAAATATATATTTAATATTTAATTATATTTAATATATAATCAGTATATTTCTAAATAAATAAAAAAAAATCTATATATATATATTTTGTTTTATATATATATATAAATAAAATTCTAAGTAAACGTGAAGCATTATTGAATTAGGGATTTATTCCATTTAATTCCAGATTTCAATTTTGATTTCCATCAGATTTGAGGAGCCTCTGGCCAATCTGCTGAACAAGCAGCACCAGACGGTGAAGGAGCAGCTGGAGCAGCTGAGAATTAAAAAATCCTCAATCAAAGCCCCCCAAGAAAGCGAAAAATCCAAAAATCCAAATGAGAAACCCCAGCTCAGCCTGGTCCTGGACACTGCCCAGAGGAAGAGGCTGCAGCAGCAAATGCAGCAGGTACGAAATGTAACGGTTCTATTCTGGAAAAATCCCATTTTTCTCCATTTTTTACTATTTAACGGTATTATCGCAGCAGGTAAGAAATGTAACGGTTCTATTCTGGAAAAATCCCATTTTTATCCATTTTTTACTATTTAACGGTATTATTGCAGCAGGTAAGAAATGTAATGATTATATTCTGGAAAAATCCCATTTTTATCCATTTTTTTACTATTTAACGGTATTATTGCAGCAGGTAAGAAATGTAACGATTCTATTCTGGAAAAATCCCATTTTTATCCATTTTTTTACTATTTAACGGTATTATCGCAGCAGGTAAGAAATGTAACGATTCTATTCTGGAAAAATCCCATTTTTATCCATTTTTTACTATTTAACGGTATTATCGCAGCAGGTACGAAATGTAACGGTTCTATTCTGGAAAAATCCCATTTTTATCCATTTTTTACTATTTAACGGTATTATCGCAGCAGGTACGAAATGTAACGGTTCTATTCTGGAAAAATCCCATTTTTATCCATTTTTTACTATTTAACGGTATTATTGCAGCAGGTACGAAATGTAACGATTCTATTCTGGAAAAATCCCATTTTTATCCATTTTTTACTATTTAACGGTATTATTGCAGCAGGTAAGAAATGTAACGGTTCTATTCTGGAAAAATCCCATTTTTATCCATTTTTTTACTATTTAACGGTATTATCGCAGCAGGTACGAAATGTAACGATTCTATTCTGGAAAAATCCATTTTTATCCATTTTTTACTATTTAACGGTATTATTGCAGCAGGTACGAAATGTAACGGTTCTATTCTGGAAAAATCCCATTTTTATCCATTTTTTACTATTTAACGGTATTATTGCAGCAGGTACGAAATGTAACGGTTATATTCTGGAAAAATCCCATTTTTATCCATTTTTTACTATTTAACGGTATTATCGCAGCAGGTACGAAATGTAACGATTCTATTCTGGAAAAATCCCATTTTTATCCATTTTTTTACTATTTAACGGTATTATCGCAGCAGGTAAGAAATGTAACGGTTCTATTCTGGAAAAATCCCATTTTTATCCATTTTTTTACTATTTAACGGTATTATCGCAGCAGGTACGAAATGTAACGATTCTATTCTGGAAAAATCCCATTTTTATCCATTTTTTACTATTTAACGGTATTATTGCAGCAGGTACGAAATGTAACGGTTCTATTCTGGAAAAATCCCATTTTTATCCATTTTTTACTATTTAACGGTATTGCAGCAGGTACGAAATGTAACGATTCTATTCTGGAAAAATCCCATTTTTATCCATTTTTTACTATTTAACGGTATTATCGCAGCAGGTAAGAAATGTAACGGTTCTATTCTGGAAAAATCCCATTTTTATCCATTTTTTTACTATTTAACGGTATTATCGCAGCAGGTACGAAATGTAACGATTCTATTCTGGAAAAATCCCATTTTTATCCATTTTTTACTATTTAACGGTATTATTGCAGCAGGTACGAAATGTAACGGTTCTATTCTGGAAAAATCCCATTTTTATCCATTTTTTACTATTTAACGGTATTGCAGCAGGTACGAAATGTAACGATTCTATTCTGGAAAAATCCCATTTTTATCCATTTTTTACTATTTAACGGTATTATCGCAGCAGGTAAGAAATGTAACGATTCTATTCTGGAAAAATCCCATTTTTATCCATTTTTTACTATTTAACGGTATTATCGCAGCAGGTACGAAATGTAACGATTCTATTCTGGAAAAATCCCATTTTTATCCATTTTTTACTATTTAACGGTATTATTGCAGCAGGTACGAAATGTAACGGTTCTATTCTGGAAAAATCCCATTTTTATCCATTTTTTTACTATTTAACGGTATTATTGCAGCAGGTACGAAATGTAACGATTCTATTCTGGAAAAATCCCATTTTTATCCATTTTTTACTATTTAACGGTATTATCGCAGCAGGTAAGAAATGTAACGATTATGTTCTGGAAAAATCCCATTTTTATCCATTTTTTACTATTTAACGGTATTATCGCAGCAGGTACGAAATGTAACGATTCTATTCTGGAAAAATCCCATTTTTATCCATTTTTTACTATTTAACGGTATTATCGCAGCAGGTACGAAATGTAACGATTCTATTCTGGAAAAATCCCATTTTTATCCATTTTTTACTATTTAACGGTATTATCGCAGCAGGTACGAAATGTAACGATTCTATTCTGGAAAAATCCCATTTTTATCCATTTTTTACTATTTAACGGTATTATTGCAGCAGGTACGAAATGTAACGGTTCTATTCTGGAAAAATCCCATTTTTATCCATTTTTTTACTATTTAACGGTATTATTGCAGCAGGTACGAAATGTAACGATTCTATTCTGGAAAAATCCCATTTTTATCCATTTTTTACTATTTAACGGTATTATCGCAGCAGGTAAGAAATGTAACGATTATGTTCTGGAAAAATCCCATTTTTATCCATTTTTTACTATTTAACGGTATTATCGCAGCAGGTACGAAATGTAACGATTCTATTCTGGAAAAATCCCATTTTTATCCATTTTTTACTATTTAACGGTATTATCGCAGCAGGTACGAAATGTAACGATTCTATTCTGGAAAAATCCCATTTTTATCCATTTTTTTACTATTTAACGGTATTATTCTCGATCTAGTTTGGGTTATTTTTTGTGTCCTCCTGCCACCACACCAAATTCAGAAATGGGCAGTTCTAAAAGCTGAAATCTTTGCTGTTCAAGAAATAATTATGTGTTTTTATAGGAAAAAATTTAATTTCTGTATTGGCTGTGATGAGAATTTGGCACCAAAGCTGCGAAACGGCCCAAAAATTTCTGATATCTTCAAAATTTCTGTAATAAACTTTTAACATTTCCCCTCAGTTCTCTGTTGATTTTAAGGTTTTTTTGCAGAGATTTTTGCTGTGCTCAGGGGATATTTCTTGTGCCTTTGGGTTTGTGATAAAATTTTAAAAAAAAATCCAATTTTTCTGATTTTATTCCTCAAGCACGTTCAGCTCCTGACTCAAATCCATCTCCTGGCAAGTTTCAACCCTGCCCTGAGTTCAGAGGCCAGCACCACCCAGATGTTTTTGGTAAGAAATGTCCTAAAATCAGATTTCCAGAAATTCAAATTGTTCCTGGTCTCTGGGCAAACTTAGAAATATTAATTTATTTGTAATTAATTTACTTAGAAAGGTGAATTGTTTTATTTATCCCGTTAAACTGAGAATTAAGGGTTTGGATAGGAATCTTAATTTTCACTTTATTGGGATAAATATTGGGATGGATAATGGGATAAATATGGGAGTGGATAATCAATTTAATGGGATAAATACTGGAATGGATAATGGGATAAATATTGGAATGGATAATGGGTTTAATGGGATAAATATTGGAAAGGATAATCAATTTAATGGGATAAATATTGGAATGGATAATGGATTTAATGGAATAAATATTGGAATGGATAATGGGATAAATATTGGAATGGATAATCAATTTAATGGGATAAATATTGGAATGGATAATGGGATAAATATTGGATTGGATAATCAATTTAATGGGATAAATATTGGAATGTATAATGGGATAAATATTGGAATGGATAATGGGATAAATATTGGAATGGATAATCAATTTAATGGGATAAATATTGGAAAGGATAATCAATTTAATGGGATAAATATTGGAAAGGATAATGGATTTAATGGAATAAATATTGGAATGGATAATGGGATAAATATTGGAATGGATAATCAATTTAATGGGATAAATATTGGAATGGATAATCAATTTAATGGGATAAATATTGGTATTGATAATGGATTTATTGGGATAAATATTGGAATGAATAATCAATTTAATGGGATAAATATTGGAATGGATAATGGGATAAATATTGGAATGGATAATCAATTAAATGGGATAAATATTGGTATGGATAATCAATTTAATGGGATAAATATTGGTATTGATAATGGATTTAGTGGGATAAATATTGGAATGGATAATCAATTAAATGGGATAAATATTGGAATGGATAATGGATTTAGTGGGATAAATACTGGAATGAATAATAAATTTATGGATAATCAATGGATAATCAATTTATTGTTATTATTATTTCCCTGGATTTGTGATGCCCCAAATGAAGATTTATAATCAGATAGTAATACTACTACCACTACTACTACTACTACTACTACTACTACTACTACTACTAAATGTCATCATAATATCATGATAATATTGTAATATAATGTAATGTAATATAATGTAATGTAATGTAATGTAATGTGATATAATGTGATATAATATAATATAATAAATATAATATAATAATGTAAAATTAATAATAGTAATAATAATTTATATTATTATTATTATAGCACCAAATATTATTATTTCTATAAATAGTAGTATTATTATAATTACAACATCAATAATAATGTGATGTAATTTGATTTATAATCTGATTATTTATATCACATTTTTAATCTGATCATTTATAATTTACAGTCTGATTTTTTGCATGTTAATAATAATAATAATAACAATAACAATAATAATATCATAATAATATCATTATAATATCCGAATATAATATAATATAATATAATATAATATAATATAATATAATATAATATAACAATGTAAAATAATAATATTAATAGATAATAATGGTAATAATAATAATAATAATAATATAATAATGATAATAGACAATATGATTATTTATGGCACCAAATATTATTATTTATATAAATAATAGCATTATTATAATTGCAACATCAATAATATTGTAATGTAATTTGATTTGTAATCTGATTATTTATATCACATGTATAATCTGATAATTTATAATTTCCAGTCTGATTTTTTGCATGTTAATAATAACAACAACAACAACAACAACAACAACAACAATAATAATAATAATAATGATAATAATAATAATAATAATAACTTAATCATATCATTATATAATTATAATATTGAAATATAATATGATATGATATAATATAATATAATATTAATATAATATAATGTTATGTAATACAATATAATATTAATATAATATTATATAATGTGATATAATAATGTATAATAATAATAATAGATAATAATAGATAATAATAGAAAATAGATAATAATAGATAATAATGATAATAGACAACATGATTATTTATAGCACCAAATATTATTATTTTTATAAATAATAGTATTATTAATGTAACATAAATAATAATATAATGTAATTTGATTTATAATCTGAGTATTTGTCACATTTTTAATGTGATCATTTATAATTTAAAGTCTGATTTTTTGCATGTTAATAATAATAACAATAATAATGTCATTATAATATCATTATATCAATATAATATAATGTAGTATAGTATAGTATAATATAATATAATATAATATAATATAATATAATATAATATAATATATAATATGATGTAATGTGATATAATAACGTATAATAATAATGATAATAATAACAATAGATAATAATAGATAATAATAATAGATAATAATAGATAATAATGATAATAGAGAATATGATTATTTATAGCACCAAATATTATTATTTATCTAAATAATAGTATTATTATAATTACAACATGAATAATAATATAATGTAATTTGATTTATAATTTGAATATTTATATCCCATTTTATAATCTGATCATTTATAATTTCCAATCTGATTTTTTGCATGTTAATAATAACAATAACAATAATAATAATAATAATAATATATCATTATATTATTATATCATTATAACATCATAATATAATATAATATAATATAATATAATATAATATAATATAATATAATATTGTATAATGATAATAATGATAATAATAATAAATGATAATAGTGAATAATAATAATAATAGATAATAATAGATAATAATGATAATCGACAATATGATTATTTATAGCACCAAATATTATTTATATAAATAATCATATTAGTATAAATACAACATTAATAATAATATAATGTAATTTGATTTATAATCTGAATATTTATATCCCATTTTATAATCTGATCATTTATAATTTCCAATCTGTTTTTTGCATAATAATAATAATAATAATAATAATAATGATAATAACAACAATAATTTGTTTTATAATCTGTTTATTTAGAACCATAAATATTATTATTTCTGTAAATAATGGTATTATTATTATAATAGCAATAACGATATAATTGGATTTATAATCTGACCGTTTGTCTCCCATTTTGTGATGGGATCATTTCTAATTTCCGCTCCGCTTTGTGCCTGTGCGCGCCGCCCCCGCAGAGCGAGCTGGGCAGCTTTGCCTGCAGCTCCCGCCTGCACCGGGCGCCGCAGAACCCCCGCTTCCAGAGCGTGTTCCAGCCCTGCAACCTGCAGGGGGCGCTGCAGCTCCTGCACGACTTCCACGCGCGGGTGCCCGTGGAGTGCAGCCCCAGGAAGGCGGGCAAGAGCGGTAAGGGTGGGCTGTGCCCTCTGCTGAGCCACGGTTGGGGCAATTTAGAGTTCTTTTAAACAATTTTTGTTCTATTTTCAGTCTCAGGTGAAGGGTGAGACAATACAGATATCGTAACTCACAGCATCACGATCAGAAGTTAATTATTTCTTAATTACAATATACTAAAAGTGTTTATTTGTCTCTCGGCTTTAGCCACACCAAGTACCAGGTTATGAAGAAATATAAGTGAGGGGACAGGATTATGCCCTTTGCTGACCCTGATCTGGGGCAACTGAGGGGTGGTTTAAACAATTTTTATTCAATTTTCAGTCTTATATGAAGGGTGAGACAATACAGATATCTTAACTCACACCATCACAATCAGAAGTTCATTATTTCTTAATGACACCACCAATTTTCCACACCAATTTCCTATAAATCCATTTTCCACAGGGACAGGGTGAGGAAAGCCTGAGCAGGCTGTGAGGAAATAGAAGTGAGGGGGCACGGTGGGTTATTCCTTTTTCTGACCCTGATTTGAGGCAATTTAGAGTTCTTTTAAACAATTTTTATTCTATTTTCAGTCTCATGTGAAGGGTGAGACAATCCAGATATCATAACTCACAGCATCACAATCAGAAGTTAATTATTTCTTAATCATAATATACTAAAAGTGTTTCTTGATCTCTCAGCTTTAGCCACACCAAGTACCAGATTATGAAGAAATATAAGTGAGGGGACAGGATTATTCCCTTTTCTGACCCAGATTTGGGGCAATTTAGTGGTGTTTTAAACAGTTTTTATTCCATTTTCAGTCTCATGTAAAGAGTGAGATAATACAAATGTCATAACTCACAGCATCACAATCAGAAGTTAATTATTTCTTAATTACAATATACTAAAAGTGTTTATTTGTCTCTCAGCTTTAGCCACACTAAGTACCAGTTTATGAAGAAATATAAGTGAGGGGACAGGATTATGCCCTTTGCTGACCCCGATTTGGGGCAATTTAGCGGTGTTTTAAACAGTTTTTATTCTATTTTCAGTCTCAGGCTAAGAGTGAGACAATCCGGATATCATAACTCACACCATCACGATCAGAAGTTAGTTATTTCTTAATTACAATATACTAAAAGTGTTTATTTGTCTCTCGGCTTTAGCCACACCAAGTACCAGGTTATGAAGAAATATAAGTGAGGGGACAGGATTATGCCCTTTGCTGACCCCGATTTGGGGCAACTGAGGGGTGGTTTAAACTATTTTTGTTCTATTTTCAGTCTCATGTGAAGGGTGAGACAGTACTGATATCATAACTCACACCATCACAATCAGAAGTTAGTTATTTCTTAATGACACCACCAATTTTCCACACCAATTTCCTATAAGTCCATTTCCCTCAGGGACAGGGTGAGGAAAGCATGAGCAGGATGTGAGGAAATATAAGTGAGGGGACAGGATTATTCCCTTTTCTGACGCTGATTTGGGGCAATTTAGAGGTGTTTTAAACAGTTTTTATTCTATTTTCAGTCTCATGTGAAGAGTGAGATAATACAAATGTCATAACTCACACCATCACAGTCAGAAGTTAATTATTTCTTAATTACAATATATTAAAACTGTTTATTTATCTCTCAGCTTTAGCCACACCAAGTACCAGTTTATGAAGAAATATAAGTGAAGGGACAGGATTATGCCCTTTGCTGACACTGATTTGGGGCAATTTAGAGGTGTTTTAAACAGTTTTTATTCCATTTTCAGTCTCATGTAAAGAGTGAGATAATACAAATGTCATAACTCACAGCATTACAATCAGAAGTTAATTATTTCTTAATTACAATATTCTAAAAGTGTTTTTTGGCCTCCACACCAATTTCCTATAAATCCATTTTCCACAAGGACAGGGTTGGCAAAGCATGAGCAGGCTGTGAGGAAATATAAGTGAGGGGCAGGGTGGATTATTCCCTTTTCTGACCCAGATTTGGGGCAATTTAGAGTTCTTTTAAACAATTTTTATTCTATTTTCAGTCTCATGTGAAGGGTGAGACAATCTAGATATCATAAGTCACACCATCACAATCAGAAGTTAATTATTTCTTAATTACAATATACTAAAAGTGTTTCAGAGTGGCCACTTGGTCTTTGCCTTGCTACAGAGCAAAAGAAAAGATGGAAAGGGAAACAAATTTTACATTTTGCTGGTGTAAACATAAAGGGGAAAACTAGGAAATCTGCGAATTCTAAAAACCAAAAGGAATTATTTTTGCAGTGAAAGGAGTAAAAGAAACAGATTTTTCAAGGAGTGAGCAGTGAAAAACACCCATCCACACACCCCAAACTGCCCTTCCCTGTTCATTCTTTTCCCAGCAAACGAATTCTCGTGTTTGCCCAAGCAAGTGGCCTGGATTTTGGCAACCAGGAAAGTTTTCATGTACCCGGAGCTGCTGCCCATCTGTGCCTTGAGGGCAAACCCTCCCCGGGACAAGATCGTGTTCACCAAGGCAGAGGACAAGTGAGTGATTATCGCACAATTATTGCACAATTCTTGCACAAAACGGGTGGAAATGGGTTTGTTAAAGAGGATTTCAATCCTCGGGGAGAGCTGAGAGGTTTCTCATCCCTTCCCTTCCCTCTTTCCCTGTGCAGCCTGTTGGCTTTAGGGCTGAAACATTTCGAAGGGACGGATTTCCCCAAGCCTCTGATCAGCAAATACCTGCTGCCCACCAAAACTGCCCACCAGCTGGCAGTGAGGATCAAGAACCTGAACATGAACAGAGCCCCTGACAACATCATCAGGGTAAGGGCCACCTCCTGGGCTCTGTGCTCCAGGGGCTTCTTATTTAAAATGAATTATCATGTTTGGGGTAGCAGTGAGGATTTTACCTTTTGTTTCCATTAGATACTGATTGGACTCTTTAGAGAGTTTTAGTTTTAGAGACTCTTTAGTTTTACCAGGACTATCCAATCAGATAGTCCTGGTAAAACTCAGTGATCCTGGTTAAAAATTCATCCAGGTGAATTATTTCAAGAAAAAGTCATTCTTGTGGTGGCAGTGAGGATTTAATCTTTTATTTCCCTTAGCCACAAAATTAGATTAAACAACACCTGCATAAAACACCTGGGAACAAAACCAGATTAAACAACTCCTGCACAAAACCAGATTAAACAACACCTGCACAAAACAAAACCAGTTAAAACAAAATCTGCACAAAACCAGACAAAACAACACCTGCACAAAACCAAACCAGATAAAACACCCTTCCAGCAGCTGCTCTGTGCTCCAGGGGCTTCTTATTTCAAATAAAATGTCATCCTTGGGGTGGCAGTGAGGATTTAAACTTCTATTTCCCTTAGATACTGATTGGACTCTTTAGAGCTCAGATAGTCCTGGTAGAACTCAATAAATCTTGATGAAAAGTTGATCCAAGTGAGCTTTTGAGTAGCAAAATTGAAATAAAAGTGGTTTTTGCAGCCAACTGGGCAGTAATGCCGTGCCATAAACTAGTGGGGACAAAACCAGATAAAACAAAACAACACCTGCATAAAACAAAACCAGATAAAACAAAATCTGCACAAAACCAGATAAAACAGCTCCTGCCCACCAGCTGGCAGTGAGGATCAAGAACCTGAACATGAACAGAGCCCCTGACAACATCATCAGGGTAAGGGCACCTCCTGGGCTCCTTATTGCAAATAAAATGTCATCCTTGGGGCAGATGTGAGGATTTAACTTTTAAAATTGAGGATTATTTCCATTAGAATACTGATTGGACTCTTTAGAGCTCAGATAGTCCTGGTAAAACTCAGTGATCCTGGTTAAAAATTCATCCAGGTGAATTATTTCTAGGGCCTCTTATTTAACCAAAAGTCATCCTTGTGGTGGCAGTGAGTATTTAACCTTTTATTTCCCTTACCTACAAAACCAGATTTAACAACTCCTGCATAAAACCAGATTAAACAACTCCTGCACAAAACCAGATTAAAAAACACCTGCACAAAACCAAACCAGATAAAACACCCTTCCAGCAGCTGCTCTGTGCTCCAGGGGCTTCTTATTTCAAATAAAATGTCATCCTTGGGGTGGCAGTGAGGATTTAACCTTTTATTTCCCTTAGTCACAAAATCAGATTAAACAACTCCTGCACAAAACCAGATTAAACAACACCTGCACAAAACAAAAACACATAAACCAACACCTGTATAAAACAAAACCAAACCAGATAAAACAATACCTGCAGAAAACAAAAACACATAAAACAACACCTGCATAAAATCACATAAAACAACAGCTGCATAGAACAAAATCAGATAAAACAACACCTATATAAAACAACACATTCATAAAACAAAACCACATAAATCAACACCTGTATTAAACAGAAACAAGATAAACCAACACCTGCACAAAACCACATAAAACAAAAATGCATAAAACAACACCTGCATAAAAACACATAAAACAACACAAGATAAAACAGCACCTGCATAAAACAAAACCAGGTAAAACAACAGCTGCATAAAATGACATAAAACAACACCTGCATGAAACAAAACCACATAAAACACCTGTAAAACAAACAGATAAAACAAAACCAGATAAAACAAAACAACACCTGCATAAAACCACATAAAACAACACCAGATAAAACAACACCTGCATGAAACAAAAGCAGATAAAACAGAACAACACCTGCACAGCTGCCTGAATCTGTGAGAGCAGCCAGCACGGCACTGAGCTCCTGGTTATTATTTTTAATATTCCTGTGGGTAAAACCTTATTAAAAAATCCCTTCATTGACATGAACACCTGCAGAGAGCCCAGTCCTTCACCCCAGCAGTGTCACCTGAGCAGTGTCACCTGTGGCTGCAGTGTCACCTGAGCAGTGTCACCCGAGCAGTGTCACCTGTGTGGCAGCAGTGTCACCCGAGCAGTGTCACCTGTGTGCCTTTGTCACCCATGTGCCTTTGTCACATGTGTGGCTGCTGTGTCACCTGAGCAGTGTCACCTGAGCAGTGTCACCCATGTGGCTGCAGTGTCACCTGTGTGGCAGCAGTGTCACCTGTGTGCCTTTGTCACCTGTGGCTCAGTGTCACCTGTGTGCCTTTGTCACCTGTGTGGCTGCAGTGTCACCCCAGCAGTGTCACCCCAGCAGTGTCCCTGTGTGGCTGCAGTGTCACCTGTGTGGCTGCAGTGTCACCTGTGTGGCTGCAGTGTCACCCCAGCAGTGTCCCTGTGTGGCTGTGGCTGCAGTGCCACCTGTGGCTCAGTGTCACCTCTGTGGCTGCAGTGTCACCCCAGCAGTGTCACCTGTGGCTCAGTGTCACCTGTGTCCCTTTGTCACCTCTGTCCGTGTCCCCTCAGCACTACAAGAGGACCAAGCAGCTGCCGGTGCTGCTGCGGTGCTGTGAGGAGCTGCAGTGTCACCTGTGTGCCTTTGTCACCTGTGTGGCTGCAGCGTCACCCCAGCAGTGTCACCCCAGCAGTGTCCCTGTGTGGCTCAGTGTCACCCCAGCAGTGTCACCTGTGTGGCTGTGGCTGCAGTGTCACCTGTGGCTCAGTGTCACCTCTGTGGCTGCAGTGTCACCCCAGCAGTGTCACCTGGGCAGTGTCTCCTGTGTGGCAGCAGTGTCACCTGTGTGCCTTTGTCACCTGTGTGGCTGCAGTGTCACCCCAGCAGTGTCACCTGAGCAGTGTCACCCCAGCAGTGTCACCTGTGTGGCTGTGGCTGCAGTGTCACCTGTGGCTCAGTGTCACCTGTGTCCCTTTGTCTCCTGTGTGGCTGCAGTGTCACCTGAGCAGTGTCACCTGTGTGCCTTTGTCACCTGTGTGGCTGCAGTGTCACCCCAGCAGTGTCACCTGTGGCTCAGTGTCACCTGTGTCATCTGTGTCCCTTTGTTGCCTGTGTGGCTGCAGTGTCACCTGTGTCCCTTTGTCACCTGTGGCTCAGTGTCACCTGTGTCCCTTTGTCACCTGTGTGGCTCAGTGTCACCTGTGGCTCAGTGTCACCTGTGTCCCTTTGTCACCTGTGTCCGTGTCCCCTCAGCACTACAAGAGGACCAAGCAGCTGCCGGTGCTGCTGCGGTGCTGTGAGGAGCTGCAGTGTCACCTGTGTCCCTTTGTCACCTGTGTCCGTGTCCCCTCAGCACTACAAGAGGACCAAGCAGCTGCCGGTGCTGCTGCGGTGCTGTGAGGAGCTGCAGTGTCACCTGTGTCCCTTTGTCACCTGTGTCCGTGTCCCCTCAGCACTACAAGAGGACCAAGCAGCTGCCGGTGCTGCTGCGGTGCTGTGAGGAGCTGCAGTGTCACCTGTGTCCCTTTGTCACCTGTGTCCGTGTCCCCTCAGCACTACAAGAGGACCAAGCAGCTGCCGGTGCTGCTGCGGTGCTGTGAGGAGCTGCAGTGTCACCTGTGTCCCTTTGTCACCTGTGTCCGTGTCCCCTCAGCACTACAAGAGGACCAAGCAGCTGCCGGTGCTGCTGCGGTGCTGTGAGGAGCTGCAGTGTCACCTGTGTCCCTTTGTCACCTGTGTCCGTGTCCCCTCAGCACTACAAGAGGACCAAGCAGCTGCCGGTGCTGCTGCGGTGCTGTGAGGAGCTGCAGTGTCACCTGTGTCCCTTTGTCACCTGTGTCCGTGTCCCCTCAGCACTACAAGAGGACCAAGCAGCTGCCGGTGCTGCTGCGGTGCTGTGAGGAGCTGCCGCCGCACGAGTGGAAGGCGCCTGTGGAGCGGGAGGAGCAGCGCCTGCCCTTCTGGCTGAAGGTATTTCCTCGGGGGAGCTGGGCTTTGGGTCGGTTTTGGGGTTTTATTGGGTTTTGTGGGGATTTTTTGGGTTTTGTGGGGATTTTTTGGGTTTTGTGGGGATTTTTTTTCCCCTTGTGGATTCTCCTTTTGGATTTTTTCCTCATGGATTTTCCCCTTGTAGATTTTTCCCCTTGTGGATTTTCTCCTTTTGTGGATTTTTCCCCTTGTGGATTTTTTTCCTTGTGGTTTTTTTCCTTCTGTTTTTTTTTTTTTTCCCCTTGTGGATATTTTCCCTTGTGGATTTTCCTTTTGTGGATTTTTTCCTTGTGGATTTTCCGTTTGGATTTTCTCCTCTTGTGGATTTTCCTTTTGGATTTTTTCCTCATGGATTTTCCCCTTGTGGGTTTTCCCCTTTTGGATTTTTTCCTTCTGGATTTTCCTTTTGAGTTTTTTCCTTTTGTGGAATTTTCCGCTTGTGGATTTTTTTCCTTTTGGATTTTTCCCTTTTGTGGATTTTGCCCTTTTGTGGATTTTTTTCCTTTTGGATTTTTTCCTTTTATGGATTTTTTCCCTTTTCTGGATTTTTCCCTTGTGGATTTTCCCCTTATGGATTTTCCCCTTGTGGATTTCTTTTCCTTGTGGATTTTATTTTTTCCTTGTGGATTTTCCTTTTGGATTTTTTCCTTGTGGATTTTTTCCTTTTGTGGATTTTTTCCTTGTGGATTTTTCCCCTTGTGGATTTTCTCCTTATGGATTTTTTCCTTGTGGATTTTTTCCTTTTGTGGATTTTTTCCTTTTGTGGATTTTTTCCTCATGGATTTTCCCCTTGTGGATTTTTTCCTTGTGGATTTTTCCCCTTGTGGATTTTCTCCTTATGGATTTTTTCCTTTTGTGGAGTTTTTCCTTTTGTGGAGTTTTTCCTTCTGTTTTTTTCCCTTCTGTTTTTTTTCCTTATGGATTTTTTCCTTTTGAATTTTTTCCTTTTGTGGATTTTTTTTTCTGGTTTTCTTCCTTCTGGATTTTTTCCTTTTGTGGATTTTTTCCTTTTGGATTTTTCCTGGAGCCACAGACACCATTCCTATGAGTCAGGCAGTCAGGGAGCCCTGTCCCCAAGGCAACAACTGCACTCGAATGCCATAAAATCCATTTCTCTTCATCACCGCCTGTTCCACAGGGAACTTTCCTTCCCACAAAATCTGATTTTTACTAAAGCAACCTTTATAAAGCCAAAAAAAACTTCGTTTTTCCTCAGGATCTCAGTCTCCTAAAGGCTTTGCAGTGCAACTCATGAATTTAAAGTACTATTATGTCCTATTATGTTACTATTAAGTAACATGGAGTACTATTATGTTACTATTAAGTAACATGGAGTAGTAGAAAGGAAATAAATCCCGCTTGTAGAAGCAGGCAGAGGAAGCTCTGCCAGCTCGCAGAGTTGCCTTCTGTGCTGCTGTGTGAAGGTGAAAATACAGAAATAAATAATAAATAAAATAATTAAAATAAATCCTTGCTCCTTTCAGGCAAGCTTGCCCTCCATCCAGAGGGAACTGAAGCAGCTGGCAGAAGATGCCAAGGAGACGCCAGCTTCACCTGCTGGAGAATCTGCCCTGGTGGGGGCAGAGAAGGAAACTCCAGGCAGGGAATGTGATGAAAAATATCCTTTGCTGATGCCCAAGGGGCTCGTGCTCACCCTGAAACCTCTGGGAAACCGCTTCTCCAGGAGGCCCTGGAGGAGGCAGAGATGTGCAGCTCTGAAACCCGTGCTGATCCGGCCCAGCCCCTGCCTGCAGCCCAGCTCCAGCCCCCCGGGCCTGCAGAAAAACCAGAAATCGCCTCAGGCCGAGGCCGCCCCCAGCAGGGTCCGCGGCCGCGTCCCTCGGCCCATCCAGCCGGCCCCGCCACCCCTGAGGGTCCCGGCAGTGCTGGCGGCTGGGGATGCCTTGGAATTCCAGAATGTTCTGCCCGCTGGGCAGCCGAGCTCCAGGCAAGCCTTCCCAGGCGCTGTGGTGGCCTCGGAGCCGGGGGGTTCCCAGGCCAAGGTGATGCTGCCGGCCCCGGGCGCCGCGAGGGCGCGCAGGCCGTGCGTGAGGAAGGGCTACCAGAGGAAAAAAGGGCCCAAATCATCCCCGGCGATCAAAGCTCCCCCTGTGCTCCAGCCCTCCCCTGTCATCCTCACCGTCCCTGCCACCACGGTGAAGGTGCTCAACATTGGCAACGGCTGCAACGTCATCCAGCCCCTGAGCACGGCCGTGGGCCGCGCCGCGCAGGCCATCCCTGTCACCACCCTGCTGGTGAACCCCTCCACCTTCCCCTGCCCCCTCAACCAGCCCCTGGTGACCTCGTCCATCCCGTCCCTGATTGTGTCCCCCAGCCCTGTTGGGAGAGAAGGGGAGGAGAAGCTGACCCTGCTCCCTGCTCCAGGAGCTTTCCCTGCGGTGGAGCCCAAGGTGGAGCCCTCAGAGCTCTTTGTCCCTTGCTCCACTTTGTCCCCAAAGAAGGAGTGCGGCGCCAACCCTGCCCGTGGGGACACTCAGGACAAGGGGAAGAGCTGGGCAGTGGCAGAGGGAGATGGGAACACATCAGAGCCTTTGCCCGTGGTGGAGCTTTTGCCTCGCTTGGAAAATCCCGACGCACCGGCGGAAATCAAGTCTGAAGATTTAAGTGATGCTCCCAAAGAAGCCAGCCTGGCCCAAAAGAGGGAAATTTTATGTGCTGAAAGGAAGGAGGAGTTCATGCTGGGCCTTGGCCAGGAGCTGAGCATGGAGGCCGCCTGCTCCTGTGGGGACGAGCCCGAGAAGGAGCAGATCCCCTGTGAGGAGAAGGGAGAGGAGCCAGGCCAGGCTGGGCCCTGCCCTGCCCAGGGGGAGCAGCAGGGGGAGCCTGGGGGGGCTGCAGGGCCCCCGGGCACCGGGGACTCCCCGAGGAACCCCCAGTGCCCGGCTGAGAGGGAGGCAGGCTTCAGCAGCCCCCCAGGGGACTCCTCCAGCGTCGATGGGCTCTCCGTGGGGACACCGGCCGGCCCCGAGGCCGCAGGGGACAGGGAAGGGCAGGAGGAGGAGGAGGAAGATGATTTTGATGATTTTACGCAAGATGAGGATGAGGAAATGTCATCAGCCTCGGAGGAGTCGATTCTGTCGGTGCCGGAGCTGCAGGTAAAGATAAAACTTGAAAAGATAAAAGTTGAAAAGATAAAAGTTGGAAAGATAAAACTTGAAAGTCCCTAAAAAGGGGCAGTTGTGAGTGTCCTAAAACAGCCTGTGGAGTCAGGGATCCCACTGGGAACCCCGTTGGGAACCCCACTGGGGATCCCACTGGGAATTCCACTGAAATCCCAATTGAAATCCTACTGGGGATCCCACTGGAAATCCCATTGGAAATCCCACTGGGAATCCCACTGGGGATCTGGAAATCCCACGGGAAATCCTACTGGAGATCCCACTGGAAATTCTACTGGAAATCCCATTGAGGATCCCACTGGGGATCCCATTGGAAATCCCACTGAAAATCCCATTGGGGACCCCACTGAAATCCCAATGGAAACTCCGCTGGGAATCCCAGTGGGAATCTCACTGGAGATCTGGAAATCCCACTGAGGATCCCACTGGGAATCCTGCTGGGGATCCCACTGGGGATCTAGAAATCCAGCTGGGATCCCATTGGAAATCCCACTGGGGATCCCACTGGAGATCCCACTGGAAATCCTACTGGGGATCTGAGAATCCCACAGGGGATCCCACTGGGGATCTGGAAATCCCACTGGGAACCCAATGGAAATCCCAATGGAAATCCCACTGGGGATATAGAAATCCCACTGGGAATCCCACTGAGAATCCCTCTGAAATCCCACTGGAGATCCCACTGGAAATCCTACTGGGAATCCCACTGGGGATCTGGAAATCCCACTGGGATCCCATTAAAAATCCCACTGGGAACCCCAATGAAATCCCACTGGAAATCCTACTGGGGATCCCACTGATAATCCCACTGAAATCCCAATGGAGATCCCACTGGAAATCCCACTGGGGATTATTTCTAAGGAAATAATAATTTAAAAAATTATATTTTTTAACCAAATAAAATTTTAAAAATTATATTTTTGAGCCAAATGAAATTTTAAAAAATGGGATTTTTAAAATTATTATTTCTAAGGAAACAGTGAAAAAACTGATGTGGCTGGCAACAGAGAGATGTTTAAACCAAATAAAATTTTAAAATGGGATTTCTTAATTATTATTTCTAAGGAAATAATAATTTTAAAAATTCTATTTTTGAGCCAAATAACATTTTAAAAATTATATTATATTATGTTATGTTATGTTACGTTATGTTATATGTTATGTTACATTACGTTACATTACATTATATTATATTTTATTATATAATATCATATTATATTATATTATATTATATTATATTATATTGTATTGTATTATATTATATTATATTATATTATATTATATTATATCTGGCTGCAACAGAGAGACGTTTGAACCAAATAAAATTTTAAAATGGGATTTTTTTTATTATTATTTCTAAGGAAATAATAATTTAAAAAATTATATTTTTGAGCCAAATAAAATTTAAAAAATTATATTTTAAAAAATATTTTTAAATATCTATTTTAAAAATTATATATTTTTCTATTTTTTTAGTTTTAAAAAATGGGATTTTTAAATTATTATTCCTAAGGAAATAATGATTTAAAAAAATTATATTTTTAGGCCAAATAAAATTTAAAAATGGGATTTTTAAATTATTATTTCCAAGGAAACAATGGAAAAGCTGACCTGGCTGGCCACAGAGAGACGTCTGAGCCAAGAGGGAGATTCTGAAGAGGAGAATTCCCAGGAGGAGAACTCGGAGCCTGAGGAGGAGGAGGAGGAGGAAGGGGAGGGGATGGAGAGCTCCCACAAGGAGGATGAAACGTGTGGGGACCCCTCGGAGGAGCCCAAATCTGCTGCCACCACGGCCAAGGCGGCGTCCCCACAGGTGGAGACCCTCAGGAGGCCAGCAGGTGGGTGTGGGGACACAGGGGACTTTGGGGACAGCAGGTGGGTGTGGGGACACAGGGGACTTTGGGGACAGCAGGTGGGTGTGGGGACAGCAGGTGGGTGTGGGGACACAGGGGACTTTGGGGACAGCAGGTGGGTGTGGGGACACAGGGGACTTTGGGGACACAGGGGACTTTGGGGACAGCAGGTGGGTGTGGGGACACAGGGGACTTTGGGGACACAGGGGACTTTGGGGACAGCAGGTGGGTGTGGGGACACAGGGGACTTTGGGGACAGCAGGTGGGTGTGGGGACAGCAGGTGGGTGTGGGGACACAGGGGAGTTTGGGGACACAGGGGACTTTGGGGACACGGGGCAGTTTGGGGACAGCAGGGGAGTTTGGGGACACAGGGGAGTTTGGCACACAGGGGACTTTGGGGACACAGGGGAGTTTGGGGACACAGGGGAGTTTGGGGACAGCAGGTGGGTGTGGGGACACAGGGCAGTTTGGGGACACGGGGCAGTTTGGGGACAGCAGGGGAGTTTGGGGACAGCAGGGGGTGTGGGGACAGCAGGGGAGTTTGGGGACAGCAGGTGGGTGTGGGACACAGGGGAGTTTGGGGACACAGGGCAGTTTGGGGACACAGGGCAGTTTGGGGACACAGGGGACTTTGGGGACACAGGGGACTTTGGGGACAGCAGGGGAATTTGGGGACACAGGGGACTTTGGGGAAACGGGGCAGTTTGGGGACACAGGGGACTTTGGGGACAGCAGGTGGGTTGGGGACACAGGGCAGTTTGGGGACACAGGGGACTTTGGGGACACAGGGCAGTTTGGGGACAGCAGGTGGGTTTGGGGACACAGGGGAGTTTGGGGACACAGGGCAGTTTGGGGACAGCAGGTGGGTTTGGGGACACAGGGGACTTTGGGGACACAGGGGACTTTGGGGACACAGGGGAGTTTGGGGACAGCAGGTGGGTGTGGGGACACAGGGGACTTTGGGGACACGGGGCAGTTTGGGGACAGCAGGTGGGTTTGGGGACACGGGGCAGTTTGGGGACAGCAGGTGAGTTTTTTGGGGTTATTTTGGACAGCAGGTGAGGTCTGTGGGTATTTTCTTTTGGATACCAGCCGGTGACGTCTTGGGTGTTTTTTGGATGCCATCAGGTGGGTTATTTTGGGATTATTTGGATGCCAGCAGTGATTTCTTTGGGGTTTTGGGCTACCAGATGAGTGCTGTGGGGTTTGGGGACAGCAGTTGAGTTCTTTGGGGTTTTTTTGGATACCAGGTGAGTTCTGTGGGGTTTTATGGACAGCGGGTGAGTTCTTTGGGATTTTTGGATGCCAGCAGGTGAGTTTTGGACACCAGGTGAGTTTTTTGGGGTTTTTGGATGCCAACAGGTGAATCCCTTGGGGTTTGTTAGATGCCATCAGGTGGGTTATTTTGGGATTATTTGGATGCCAGCAGTGAGTTCTTTGGGGTTTTGGGACACCAGGTGAGTTCTGTGGGGTTTTATGGACAGCAGGTGAGTTCTGTGGGGTTTTATGGACAGCAGGTGAATTTTTTGGGTTATTTTGGACAGCAGGTGAGGTCTGCGGGTATTTTTTTTTTTTTTCGGATACCAGCAGGTGAGTTCTTTGGGGATACCAGCAGTGATTATACCCACACTTCCACTTGGGAAGTATATCTCTCCTCCCCTTCCAGGCAGCACAGAAAACGTATATTTTGCACAAATTTGACCATTTCTGTTGGAATCCTCCCCAGGAGAGGCCCTGAAGGCCCCGGGGAGGAGCAGGAGCTCCCTGAGGAGCAGGAGCAGGAGGGGCCGAGCTCGGGGCAGCAAGGACACGGCCAAGCTGCTGCTGCTCTACGACGAGGACATCCTGGACAGGGACCCCCTGAGGGAGCAGAAGGACCTGGCCTTCGCCCAGGCCTACCTCACCAGGGTAAGGCAGCCCAAAAACATCAGCAATTTGGGGTTTTCTGCCACAAAACGCCAAAAATTTGGGGTTTTTTACCACAAAATATCCCAAATTCGGGGTGTTCTGCCACAGAATATCAAAAGTTTGCCACAAAACGTCAGAAATTTGGGGTTTTTTTACCACAGAACGTCAGAAATTTGGAGTTTTTTATCACAAAATATCCCAAATTCGGGGTGTTCTGCCACAGAATATCAAAAATTTGCCATAAAACGTCAGAAATTTGGGATTTTTTACCACAGAACGTCAAAAATTTGGGGTTTTTTTACCACAGAACGTCAGAAATTTGCCACAGAACGTCAGAAATTTGGGATTTTTTACCACAGAACGTCAGGAATTTGGGGTGTTCTGTTGCAGTACATCAGGAATTTGGGGTTTTCTGCCACAAAACGCCAAAAATTTGGAGTTTTTTACCACAAAATATCCCAAATTCGGGGTGTTCTGCCACAGAATATCAAAAGTTTGCCACAAAACGTCAGAAATTTGGGGGTTTTTACCACAGAACGTCAGAAATTTGGAGTTTTTTATCACAAAATGTCCCAAATTCGGGGTGTTCTGCCACAGAATATCAAAAATTTGCCACAAAACGTCAGAAATTTGGGGTTTTTTACCACAAAATGCCAAAAATTTGGAGTTTTTTACCACAAAATATCCCAAATTCGGGATGTTCTGCCACAGAATATCAAAAATTTGCCACAAAACGTCAGAAATTTGGGGTTTTTTACCACAAAATGCCAAAAATTTGGAGTTTTTTACCACAAAATATCCCAAATTCGGGGTGTTCTGCCACAGAATATCAAAAGTTTGCCACAAAACGTCAGAAATTTGGGGTTTTTTTACCACAGAACGTCAGAAATTTGGAGTTTTTTATCACAAAATATCCCAAATTCGGGATGTTCTGCCACAGAATATCAAAAGTTTGCCACAAAACATCAGAAATTTGGGGTTTTTTACCACAGAACGTCAAAAATTTGGGGTTTTTTACCACAGAATGTCAGAAATTTGCCACAGAATGTCAGAAATTTGGGGTTTTCTGCCACAAAACATCAAAAATTTGGGTTTTTTTACCACAAAACGTCAGTAATTTGGGGTGTTCTGATGCAGAACATCAGCAATTTGGGGTTTTCTGATGCAGAATGTCAAAAATTTGGGGTTTTTTACCACAAAATATCCCAAATTTGGGGTGTTCTGCCACAGAATATCAAAAGTTTGCCACAAAACGTCAGAAATTTGGGGTTTTTTACCACAGAACGTCAGAAATTTGGAGTTTTTTATCACAAAATATCCCAAATTCGGGATGTTCTGCCACAGAATATCAAAAATTTGCCACAAAACGTCAGAAATTTGGGGTTTTTTACCACAGAACGTCAGAAATTTGCCACAGAACGTCAGAAATTTGGGATTTTTTACCACAGAACGTCAGGAATTTGGGTTTTTTTACCACAAAATATCCCAAATTTGGGGTTTTTCTGCCACAGAACGTCAGAAATTTGGGGGTTTCTGCCACAAAACGTCAAAGATTTGGGGTTTTTTACCACAAAACATCAGTAATTTGGGGTGTTCTGATGCAGTACATCAGGAATTTGGGGTTTTCTGCCACAAAACGTAAAAAATTTGGGGTTTTTTACCACAAAATATCCCAAATTCGGGGTGTTCTGCCACAGAATATCAAAAGTTTGCCACAAAACGTCAGAAATTTGGGGTTTTTTTACCACAGAACGTCAGAAATTTGGAGTTTTTTACCACAAAATATCCCAAATTCGGGGTGTTCTGCCACAGAATATCAAAAGTTTGCCACAAAACGTCAGAAATTTGGGGTTTTTTTACCACAGAACGTCAGAAATTTGGAGTTTTTTACCACAAAATATCCCAAATTCGGGGTGTTCTGCCACAGAATATCAAAAATTTGCCACAAAACGTCAGAAATTTGGGGTTTTTTACCACAGAACGTCAGAAATTTGCCACAGAACGTCAGAAATTTGGGATTTTTTACCACAGAACGTCAGAAATTTGGGATTTTTTACCACAGAACGTCAGGAATTTGGGTTTTTTTACCACAAAATATCCCAAATTTGGGGTTTTTCTGCCACAGAACGTCAGAAATTTGGGGGTTTCTGCCACAAAACGTCAAAGATTTGGGGTTTTTTACCACAAAACATCAGTAATTTGGGGTGTTCTGATGCAGTACATCAGGAATTTGGGGTTTTCTGCCACAAAACGTAAAAAATTTGGGGTTTTTTACCACAAAATATCCCAAATTCGGGATGTTCTGCCACAGAATATCAAAAGTTTGCCACAAAACGTCAGAAATTTGGGGTTTTTTTACCACAGAACATCAGAAATTTGGAGTTTTTTACCACAAAATATCCCAAATTCGGGGTGTTCTGCCACAGAATATCAAAAATTTGCCACAAAACGTCAGAAATTTGGGGTTTTTTACCACAGAACGTCAAAAATTTGGGGTTTTTTACCACAGAATATCCCAAATTCGGGGTGTTCTGCCACAGAATATCAAAAATTTGCCACAAAACATCAGAAATTTGGGGTTTTTTACCACAGAACGTCAAAAATTTGGGGTTTTTTACCACAGAATGTCAGAAATTTGCCACAGAATGTCAGAAATTTGGGGTTTTCTGCCACAAAACATCAAAAATTTGGGTTTTTTTACCACAAAACGTCAGTAACTTGGGGTGTTCTGATGCAGAACATCAGAAATTTGGGGTTTTCTGATGCAGAATGTCAAAAATTTGGGGTTTTTTACCACAAAATATCCCAAATTTGGGGTGTTCTGCCACAGAATATCAAAAGTTTGCCACAAAACATCAGAAATTTGGGGTTTTTTACCACAGAACGTCAGAAATTTGGGGTGTTCTGCCACAGAACATCAGAAATTTGGGGTTTTTTACCACAGAATGTCAGAAATTTGCCACAGGACATCAGAAATTTGGGGTTTTCTGCCACAAAACATCAAAAATTTGGGGTTTTTTACCACAAAACATCAGTAATTTGGGGCATTCTTATGCAGAACATCAGCAATTTGGGGTTTTCTGCCACAAAACGTCAAAAATTTGGGGTTTTTACCACAAAATATCCCAAATTCGGGGTGTTCTGCCACAGAATATCAAAAGTTTGCCACAAAACGTCAGAAATTTGGGGTTTTTTAACAAAGAATATCAGAAATTTGCCACAGAACATCAGAAATTTGGGGTTTTCTACAACAAAATGTCAGAAATTTGGGGTTTTTCTGATGCAGAACTTCAGAAATTTGGGGTTTTCTGCCACAGAATGTCAGAAATTTGGGGTTTTTTACCACAGAATGTCAGTGATTTGGGGTTTTCTGCCACAAGACATCAGAAATTTGGGGTTTTCTGCCTCAGAGCATCAAAAGTTTGGGGTTTTTTACCACAGAAAGTCAGAAATTTGGGGCTGTTCGGTCACAGAACATGAAAAATTTGGGGTGTCCTGCAACAAAACATCCGAAATTTGGGTTTTTCTGCCACAAAACCTCAGAAATTCGGGGTTTTCTGATGCAGGACATCAGAAATTTGGGGTTTTCTGATGCAGAACATCAAAAATTTGGGTTTTTTTACCACAGAAGATCAGAAATTTGGGGTGTTCTGCCACAAAACATCAGAAATTTGGGGTTTTCTGCCTCAGAACCTGAAAAATTTGGGTTTTTTTACCACAGAACATCAGAAATTTGGGGTTTTCTGATGCAGAACATCAGAAACTTGAGGCGTTCTGCCACAGAACTGCTGGGTCTGCCTGGGGTGGAGTTATTTGTTCCTACATGTGGTGCTTCACTTCCCAAAGTGTTCCTTTCTTGAGAGGAGGAGAGCAGCTCCTCCTCAAGCTCTGAGTTCTCTCCCTGGGAATTCTCTTCTTGGTTTGAACTTGGCTCTCTGTTGCAAGCCAAGTCAGTTTTTCCATTATCTCCTTAGAAATAACCAAAAAAATATACCATTTTTTTATTTTAATTTGGTTTGGTATCCGTCAGCAGCTTCCTCACAGCCAGTTTCACTGATCAGCACCTGCCCAGCTCAAGGATTTTGTTAAGGAACAGAACTCCAACCCCTCCAGAGCTGCTTAAAATTCTAAAATTAAATTTCAGCAGATTCCTGCTGTTGTTTTTCCTCCTCCTCCTCCTTTCTTAAGAGTGGGAGCTGGAACTGAAGGATTCAGGGGCTGAGGGTGCTCAATCCACAGCAGAAAATTCTGAATTTCTGACCTTCCCAGTCTGCACTGGGATGTGCAGCTTTGGTTCATGTTTAGGAAATCGCTTGGTTGCTTCAACAAAATTGCAAAATTATGTAAATTGTGAGTAGAGGAGATCAAATATTAATAGGTTAACAGAATTTAGGGAGAAATTCCTCCCTGGGAGGGTGGTGAGACCGTGGCAAGACTGGACAGAGCTTGGCGCGGTGCAAAGTGCCCACAACACGGCCTTGGAAGGATTTTTATCATCCCTCCCGCACAAATTACTCTGTGACCAGTTCATTTCTCCTCCTGGGTGTCCCCAATGCCCCCCCAGGTCCGTGAGACCCTGCAGCACATCCCAGGGAAATACGAGGATTTCCTGCGCGTCATCTACGAGTTCGAGATGGGCGCGGACAGGCGGACGGCCGTGGATCTGTACTGCACCCTGCAGAAGCTGCTGCGCGACTGGCCACAGCTGCTCACGGACTTTGCCGCTTTCCTCCTGCCCGAGCAGGCTCTGGAGTGCGGGCTGGTAGGTGGGGTGAGAGGAGGAGGTCGGGTTTGAGGCGATGGAAAAGTTTGTGGGAGTGGGAAGGTAAAGAATTCTTCCCAAGGCAAGGAGAAGCAGCAAAATTGGCAGTTTTGCCTTGCTGCAAATTTGCTTTTATGAATCAGAATTGGAAAGGTTTTGGTGGTTTTTATGAATCTCCTGCTCAGTGTGGCCGTGGAGGATCAGCCTTTCCCATTTGGCTGCAGATAGAGCAAGCAGTGATTCCCCTGTCTCCAAATCTCCCTTGCACTTTGCAGGTTGTAGGATTGAGGTTTCACCTCTTCCATCCTTCCTGAATTTCCCTGATTTATGTGCAAAGCCAAACTTTATAGCTCAGTGGAAGTTAGAGGCTGTAAACCACCAGAAAGAAAATCTTTTTGCACAATAATCTTTAGGCGGTGGTTCTGCAGACAGAGCAAAAAAGGTTTATAAACACCCTGGCTGTTTGAGCAACTAGGGATGCTATTATATTATAAATATAATATAATATAATATAATGTAATGTAATGTAATGTAATGTAATATATTATAATATAATATAATATAATATAATATAATATAATATAATATAATATAATATAATATAGTATAATATAATATAATATGCAGTTATACTGTAGATGATATAATTATTATATATATTATTATACATTATATAATCAATATAACATAGTATGACATGTAACTGTTATATATTTATACTTTATGATTTTATATGGCATTATATATAATATATAGAATTATATTATATTATATTATATTACATTACATTGCATTAATTACATTGCATTACATTACATTAATTACATTACATTATATTATGTATTACATTACATTACATTATATTACATTATATCATATTGTATCATAGTATCATATTATATTATATTATATTATATTATATTATTATTATATTATGTTATATTATATTATATTATATTATATTATATTATATTATATGGATGCTATTATATATATATGCTATCAATATTGTTGATTATTCCAAGTGGTGCCTTTTGTGAAAGGCATCAACACAATGGAAAGCAAACCCCAGGACAGGAATTTCATTTGTTGAAGTCCATTCCAGATGCTTGTCAATATGTGCTTGAACACGAGGGTGAATCTTCTTTCTCGTGGCCAGTTTGAGGAGCAGCAGGCCTTTGAGAAGAGCAGGAAGTTCCTCAGGCAGCTGGAGATCTGCTTTGCTGAGAACCCTGCCCACCACCAGAAGATCATCAAGGTGCTGCAGAGCTGCGCAGACTGCGTGCCCCAGGAGATCGCCGAGGTGGGCAGGGAGCCCCAAGCCTGGCCCTGAGCTCCTGGAGAGCAGGGCAGCTGGCCAGCACATCCTCCATTCGTGCTCAGATTCATGGATTGATCGATTGGTCACAAAGTGATTTGGGTTGGGGAGGAGCTTAGAGCCCATCTCATTCCACCCTGAAGGGCATTTCCCATCAATTGGTTTCTCCAGTTCTCTGTGTCATCTGCAGAGTCTGCCTGGGCTCACAGCTCAAATTCATGGATGGATGGATGACAAAATCATTTGGGTTGGGAAGGACCTTTAGAGCCCATCTCATTCCACCCCCAGGGACACTTCCCACCAGTTGGTTTCTCCAGTTCCCATCCAACCTGGCCTTGGATTTAAGGAGAATTGGACAGAAAACTCTCAGTCTGTGTTTCCTTTCTCCCACCTCCACCTTGCAGTTGAGACTTAGCAGAGTCTGTCTGGAATTCTGGAGGGATATTTCCAGGCTAATTTGACAATTCCCAGGCTAATTTGACAATTCCCCGGCTAATTTGACAGCTGGGTGGGGAGTGATCTCAGAACAGCCCGGAATTTGTTCCCTCCCCACCTTCCTCGCTGGCTCTGTGACGATCCCTGCTGCTCCCCTCGCTCTCAGCAGCACAGGGAGATGAGCTTGGGATGATCTTTCTGCATTTTTTCCCATTTTTTCCAGCTGAAGACCCAGATGTGGCAGCTGCTGAAGGGCCATGACCACCTGCAGGATGAGTTCTCAGTTTTCTTTGACCACCTCCGTCCCTCTGCCAGCCGCATGGGGGACTTTGAGGAGATCAACTGGACAGAGGAGAAGGAATATGAGGTGCTCCCAACCTTCTCCCCAAACCCAAAAAAATGATAAAAACAGAGATAAGAATCATATCTGAGCTGGAACAACTCAATTAGAGGGTGCAGTTCTAGAAGCGCTGAAGCAAAACCTTCAAATTTTGGAACAGCAAAAAAAAAAATTTTTTGTTTTCTGGGCGGGGAAAAACCAAAATTGGGAAATTGGGGTGAGCTGAGAGGAGCTGATGTGTGTTTGCTGTGCTGCAGTTCGATGGCTTTGAGGAGGTGTCTCTGCCTGATGTGGAGGAGGAGGAGGAGCCCCCCAAAATTCATGGGGCCAGCAGGAGCAAGAAGAGGAAGGAGATTGGAGGCCAACAGCACGACAAGGTGGGGCTGGGGCATCTCCTCTGAGTCAAATGAAATTGGGATTAAACTGGGATTAAATTGGGGCTGGGGTATTTCCTTGGTATTTCTCACTTTTGAGCAAATTAAAAATTTGGATTAAATTGGGATTGAATTGCGGCTGGGTCATCTCCCTGGTATTTCTCACCTTGGAGCAAATTAAAAATTTGGATTAAATTTGGATTAAATTGGGCCTGGAGTATTTCCTTGGTATTTCTCATCTGTGAACAAATTCAAAATTGGGATTAAATTTGGATTAAATTGAGTCTGGGTTATCTCTCTGGTATTTCTCATTTTTGAGCAAATGAAATTGGGGTTAAATTTGGATTAAATTGGGCCTGGGGTATTTCCTTGGTGTTTCTCACCTCTGAGCAAATTAAAAATTGGAATTAAATTTGGATTAAATTGGGCCTGGAGTATTTCCTTGGTATTTCTTACCTCTGAGCAAATTAAATTGGGATTAAATTTGGGTTAAATTGGGTCTGGGGCATCTCCCTGGTATTTCTCACCTCTGAGCAAATTAAATTTGGATTAAATTAGGCCTGGGCTATTTCCCTGTTATTTCTTATATGTGAGAAGATTAAATTGAGATTAAATTAGGATGAAATTGGGATTAAATTGGGGCTGGGGCATCTCCCTGGTGTTTCTCATCTCTGAGCAAATTGAATTGAGATTAAATTTGGATTAAATTTGGCCTGGGGTATTTCCTTGGTATTTCTCATCTGTGAGAAATATTAAATTGGGATTAAATTTGGATTAAATTGGGATTAAATTTGGATTAAATTGGGTTTGAATTGGGGCTGGGGCATCTCCCTGATATTTCTCATCTGTGAGGAAATTAAAAACTGGGATTAATTTTGGGCTGGGGCATCTCCCTGGTATTTCTCACCTCTGAGCAAATTAAATTGAGATTAAATTTGGATTAAATTGGGGCTGGGGTATTTCTCACCTGTGAGCAAATTGGGATTAAATTTGGGTTGAATTGGGCCTGGGGTATTTCCTTGGTATTTCTCACCTCTGAGTAGATTAAATTGGGATTAAACTGGGATTCATTTTGGGCTGGGGCATCTCCCTGGTATTTCTCACCTGTGAGCAAATTAAATTGGGATTAAATTTGGCCTGGGGTATTTCCTTGGTATTTCTCACCTCTGAGCAAATTAAATTTGGATTAAATTTGGGTTAAATTGGGATTAAATTGGGCCTGGGGTATTTCCTCTGTATTTCTAATCTTTGAGCAAATTAAATGGGATGAAATTGGGATTAAATTGGGCCTGGGCCATCTCCCTGGTATTTCTCACCTGTGAGCAAATTAAATTGGGATTAAATTTGGATTAAATTGGGCCTGGGGTATTTCCCTGCTATTTCTCGCCTCTGAGCAAATGAAATTTGGATGGAATTGGGGTTGGGTTGTGTTGCTGAGGGTGCGGCAGAGGCGGAGGAAGAGTTGATGGGGATGTTTCTGTCGAGCTTTGCTTTGCCAGCAGCACTTCAGCCCCCGTGTCCCCTGTCTGTCTGTCTGTCTGTGTCTGTCTGTCTGTCTGTGTCTGTCTGTCTGTCTGTCTGTGTCTGTCTGTCTCTGTCTGTGTCTGTCTGTCTGTGTCTGTCTGTCTGTCTGTGTCTGTCTGTGTCTGTCTGTCTGTGTCTGTCTGTCTGTCTGTGTCTGTCTGTGTCTGTCTGTCTCTGTCTGTCTGTGTCTGTCTGTCTGTGTCTGTCTGTCTGTGTCTGTCTGTCTGTGTCTGTCTGTCTCTGTCTGTGTCTGTCTCTGTCTGTGTCTGTCTGTCTGTGTCTGTCTGTCTGTCTGTGTCTGTCTGTCTGTCTGTCCGTCCACAGGAGGTGGAGTGGGTGGAGGGGCTGAAGGAGTGCTCCTGCCCCTGCTCCTGCCATGAGGGCAGCAGTGACCCCAAGCTCAAGAAGAGCAAGAGGAGGAGCTGCAGCCACTGTGGCAGCAAGGTCAGTGAGGGGTCCTGGGGGTCCTGGGGCCCCAAATCCCGGGGGAGGAGGGGAATCCATCCAAAAGTGACAAGAGTATCCATCCAGAGCTGAGGGGAGTCCTGGTGATCCTGGGGATGAGGAGGGGAATCCATCCAGAGATGACGAAGGGAATCCATCCAAAGGTGAAGGGGTCGTGGGGATCCTGGAGCCCCCAAATTCTGGGTGAGGAGGGGAATCCATCCAGAGGTGAGGAAGGGAATCCCAAATCCAGAGATGAGGGGAGTCCTGCTGATCCTTGAGCTTCCCAAATCCTGGGTGAGGAAGGGAATCCATCCAAAGGTGAGGGGAGGCCTGGGGATCATAGAGCCTCCCAAATCCTGGGGGAGAGGGGGAATCCATCCAGAGGTAAGGAAGGGAATCCCAAATCCAGAGGTGAGGGGATCCTGGAGCCCCCAAATCCTGGGTGAGGAAGGGAATCCATCCAGAGATGAGGAAGGGAATCCATCCTGAGGTGAGGAGAGTCCTGGTGATCCTCCTGTCCCCCAAATCCTGGGTGAGGATGGGAATCCATCCAAAAGTGGAGAAGGGAATCCATCTAAAGTTCAGGGGAGTCCTGGTGATCCTTGAGCCTCCCAAATCCTGGGGGAGGAAGGGAATCCATCTAAAAGTGACAATGGAATCCATCCAAAGCTGAGGGGGTTCTGCTGATCCTCGAGCTTCCCAAATCCTGGGGGAGGAGGGTAATCCATCCAGAGGTGAGGAAAGGAATCCATCCAAAGGTGAGGGGGGTCCTGGTGATCCTCCTGAGGATCCTGGGCCCCCCCAAATCCTGAGTGAGGAGGGGAATCCATCCAAAAGTGAGCAAGAGAATCCATCCAAAGCTGAGGGGATTCCTGGGGATCCTGGAGCCCCCAAATTCTGGGTGAGGAAGGGAATCCATCCAGAGGTGAGGGGGGTCCTGGGGATCCTCCTGGTGATCCTTGAGCTTCCAAAATCCTGGGGTGAGGAAGGGAATCCAACCAAAAGTGAGGAAGGGAATCCATCCAGAGGTGAGGAGAGTCCTGGTGATCCTCCTGGGGATCCTTCAGCCTCCCGAATTCTGGGTGAGGTGGGGAAGGGAATCCCAAATCCAGAGGTGAGCAGGGGAATCCCAAATCCAGTGGTGAGGGAGGGAATCCCAAATCCAGAGGTGAGCAGGGGAATCCCAAATCCAGAGGTGAGCAGGGGGGTCCATCCAGAGGTGCCTCCCTGCCTGCACCTCCCTGCCCTCTCCCATCTCTCTCCTCCTCACTTTCTGCTGCCCCTCCTGTTGCCTTCTGAAGCAAGGTAGGCGACTTGGTTCTGAGGAAACGGCACGGCAGCCTTCTCACTAGGGCCACTCGGGCCAATGACACACGCAGACATCAATGTGATGGACGGTCAAAAGGCGTTTATTGTCTAATCTCTTGGGTTTTTATAGTCTAAGGGGTCTCTACGTCAGCATGGGTCTGTCTTTACCATCTATGGTTAGTAAGAGGTGGACTGTTACTGGGTAGGGGATGGAAAGTTACTGGAATTTGGTTAGGAGGGTTACATTCTTATGTTAGTTTCTTATCTATGGGAAGCAGATGGTCTTATCTGAGGGGATCTGAGGGTCCTGGCTTTCTGTGACATCGCGAGATCTTCCGCAGTGCCTTTCCCTATCTACCACATCCTCCTTGCTCTGCTAAATGTCAATTTTGAATTTTGGTGTTCTGCTTGCTTAAGAAGAAGTTTATTGAGTGGAGGATGGTGGCATGGCCACTAAGAGAAAAGATTCATTACTACTACTACTACTGTTATTATTATTATTATTATTATTATTATTATTATTATTATTATTATTATCATCATCATCATCATTATCATTATTATCAATAGAATAACAATGGCAATAGTAGTAATGGTATTAATAACAATTATAATGATAATAACTATAATCATAAAAATTAATAAAAATAAAATAACAATGACAATAATGACAGTATTAATGACAATGATAATGATGATTATAATAAAAACAATAATAAAAATAAAATTACTATAGCAACAATAATGTATTAATAACAATAATAATTATATTTATAATTACAATAACAATAATTAATAAAAATAACAATGATATTAAAAACAGTGATAGCGATAATGATAATAAATTAATAAAAATAAAATAATAGCAATAATAATGGTATTAATAACAATTATAATGTAATTATAATAATAAGTTTAAAATGTAATAATAATTGTATTAATAACAGTGATAATGATGATGATAATAATAGTAATAATAATAATAATAGTAATAATTTTAAAATGTAATAATAATGGTATTAATGCTAATGACACTACTACTACTACTACTACTAATAATAATAATAATAATAATAATAAATTTCTAAATCAAGCACAATGCCAAAGGGAAGCCCCTGGCAGGAACAGCTGCCAGCACAGTCTGAGGTGTGCTTGGGAAGGACAGCCCTGTGGGTGACGGTGCCTCTGGTTGCTTTGCAGGTGTGTGAAGGCAAATTTTATAAAAACAAAGATTGCCAGGAGCTTCCTGCCAGCCTTGCCCAGAGGGAATCCAGTCCCCAGCCCGAGGGGAAGGAGCCTGGGATGCCCAGGGAGGCTGGAGAAGAAACCCTGGAGAGCAGAGAGGAGGCAGAGGAGCCCCAGGGCAGGACAAAGCCCGGCTCCAGGAGGGGGGAGTCGCTGTCCCCAGGTGTGTGCAGCTCCTGCCTGCTGCTGGCAGCTCTGGGACCCTCTGCTCATGGACCAGGGGAGGCTCAGGCACTGCTCTTTATTTATTTATATTTATATATTAAATATATATTACATTACAGTACTATATTACATTATGTTACATTACGTTACATTACATTGCATTGCATTGTATTGTATTGCATTACATTACATTGCATTACATTACATTACATTATATTACATTATATTATATTATATTATATTATATTATATTATATTATATTGTATTATATTATATTATATTATATTATATTATATTATATTATATTGTATGATATTATGCTATATTATATTATATTATATTATGCTATACTATAACACACTACAATATACTATAATGTACTAATATAATATACTAATATTATATTATATATATACAAATTATACTATACTATAATATACTAATAATATATGTACTAAATATATTATACTATAATATACTAATATGATATTATGTATATATATTATATTTCATTAACATAGTATACTATAATGTAACACACTACAATATACTATAATGTACTAATATAATATAATATAATATACATTATGTTATATTTCTATTATATATATGTTTCTATATAATATATATTTAAATATTATATATATACACACACACATATATATGTATATGTGATATATATTTTGAATGCACATTTATTGAGTATAATGAGAACTCCTAATCATTGTCTTTTCCCTTTTTTTTCACTTGTTCCTCCACTCTGGATGCTCTAAATTCAACAAACCCTTTCCTGCCTAGAGAATTTTCTGCCTTTTTTGCCCTTTTCACAATGATTGCTCCATTTATAGATATTTTATATATATATATATTTATATATATATATATATATATATATATATATATATATATATATATATATATATATATACATATATATATATATATATATATACATATATATATACATATATATATACATATATATATATACATATACGTATACAAAAATGCATATTTACTGAATATAATGAGAAGTCCTAATCATTGTCTTTTCACTTTGTTTTTCACTTGTTCCTCCACTCTGGATGTTTTAAGCTTAAAAAAAATCTTTCCTGCCTAGAGAATATTCTGCTCTTTTCACAATGATTACTCCATTTATAGATATATTATATATATCTATATCTATATATCTATCTATCTATCTATGTAAATATATATATATTTAACTATATATCTATATATCTGTATATATCTATATCTATATCTATATATATAGTATATATCTATATCTATATCTATATCTATATCTATATCTATATCTATCTATATCTCTATATCTATATCTATATATAAATATATAATATAAATGCATATTCACTGGAGGGTTTTGCTCTGGGCAAGGCACTTTTGAAATCTCCATCACTTCACCCAGCAGTTGGTTTCAGCAAGAAAATAGGCGCAGATTTTCTTTAAAGCAGAGCTGGAGTCACAGAGCTGCTCCCAAACTGTTCTCCTGCGCAGCATTAGGCTCTGTAAATAAAAATGTATTTAACAGTCAGGGAATGAAGTGTCCTTCCAGCTTGTGTGACCTTGTTTGTGTTTCTCACAGGATCCCAGCTGGAAGCAAGGCTGGCCCCCAGCAGGCCTTGTGCAAAGCCTGCCCCTGCTGATGCCCGGCTTCCAGAAGGTTCCAGGGCAGCTGTGGGCGCTGCCGAGGACAGAGACCCTGCTGCCAGTGACCCCAGATGGGCACAGCTACCGAAAGCTGCTCTGGAACTACCTCAGGAAACCAAAGGCTGCCCTGGCCCTGGGGCCCTGGAGCAGCCGGGGGGGGACACAGAGGGGCTGGGCAGGGACCTGTGGAGCCCAGGGCCCCATCCCTGCCCGCCCGAGGGGCTTCACTCTGGGCATGGGGGCTCTGCCCTCGCTCCCGAGGGTGGCACAGAACTCGAGGGAGCAGGAGGAGCTGAGGCCAAGCAGAGCAGCAGCTCAGGCTGCCCTGGCACACAGCACAGAGCTGCTCCTGAGGCCAGGCCAGGGCCAGGTGCCAGCAGCAGCTCCCCGGGGCAGCAGCAGCAGCGTCAGGAGGAGCCCAGGGCAGGAGCAGCGGCCCCAGGGCACAGGGAGGAGCAGCAGCGAGTGACAGAGGCCACCGTGTGTGCCAAGAACAGCAAAGTCAGCTCCACTGGGGAGAAGGTTGTGCTCTGGACCAGGTAATTCTGCCTCAGCTCCTCTTGCTGTGCCCCCTGTTTGCCTCCTGGGTCGTTTATTTTCAGTTTGTGTCCCTGATTTCTGACCCTTCCCTTTGCACATTGCTCAGTCCATGCTTGGCCCCATGAGCTGCTCCTGGCAGGGAGCACTTCAGACTGGAAAAAAAAAAACTTAAAACCTTTTCAAAAGGTTCCTCAAAAACCCTTAAAACCTCTCTTAAAATCTCCTTCAAAAATAAAGCCAGGGTAGCTTAGAGAAGGGTCCTGGGGTTGAGGGTGGCAGGAGGAGCCTTGTTAGGGATTGCTGAAATAGGAACTGAACTGGGAATTGAACTGGGATTGCTGAAATGGGAATTGAACTGGGATTGCTGAACTGGGATTGCTGAGCTGGGAACTGAACTGGGAATTTAAACTGAGCTGGGATTGCTGGGCTGGGATCAGAGCTGGGGTACTTGAGCCTCCCCCTGTTTTTGGGCTGCTCTCACAGGGGTTTTGCTCTGCAGGGAGGCTGACAGGGTCATCCTCACCACGTGCCAGGAGAAGGGAGCCCACCTGGACACCTTCCACGCCATCTCCCAGAAACTGGGCAACAAAACTGCCAGCGAGGTGAGGCTGCTGTGGGGCAGGGCTGGGACCCTCAGGGTGCCGTGGGGCAGGGCTGGGACCCTCAGGGTGCTGTGGGACAGGGCTGGGACCCTCAGGGTGCCGTGGGGCAGGGCTGGGACCCTCAGGCTGCTCTGGGGCAGGGCTGGGACCCTCAGGGTGCTGTGGGGCAGGGCTGGGACCCTCAGGGTGCCGTGGGGCAGGGCTGGGACCCTCAGGGTGCTGTGGGGCAGGGCTGGGACCCTCAGGCTGCTCTGGGGCAGGGCTGGGACCCTCAGGGTGCTGTGGGGCAGGGCTGGGACCCTCAGGGTGCCGTGGGGCAGGGCTGGGACCCTCAGGGTGCTGTGGGACAGGGCTGGGACCCTCAGGGTGCCGTGGGGCAGGGCTGGGACCCTCAGGCTGCTCTGGGGCAGGGCTGGGACCCTCAGGGTGCTGTGGGGCAGGGCTGGGACCCTCAGGGTGCCGTGGGGCAGGGCTGGGACCCTCAGGGTGCTGTGGGACAGGGCTGGGACCCTCAGGGTGCTGTGGGACAGGGCTGGGACCCTCAGGGTGCTCTGGGGCAGGGCTGGGACCCTCAGGGTGCTGTGGGGCAGGGCTGGGACCCTCAGGGTGCTGTGGGACAGGGCTGGGACCCTCAGGGTGCTGTGGGGCAGGGCTGGGACCCTCAGGGTGCTGTGGGACAGGGCTGGGACCCTCAGGGTGCTGTGGGGCAGGGCTGGGACCCTCAGGGTGCTGTGGGACAGGGCTGGGACCCTCAGGCTGCTCTGGGGCAGGGCTGGGACCCTCAGGGTGCTGTGGGACAGGGCTGGGACCCTCAGGGTGCTGTGGGGCAGGGCTGGGACCCTCAGGGTGCTCTGGGGCAGGGCTGGGACCCTCAGGGTGCTGTCCCATCACTCTCCCAAATTTCAGTTTGATGAAAAAATCATCTCAGTTGCAAATAAAAAAGTCAAAACCAAACCAAACTCTGTTTTAGTGGTGCCAAAAATCCTCTGTGCCCTGCTCCTTCTGCCAGGGTTAGCATTGATGTTTGAGCTGCACCTCTGGCACTGGAGTTGTTTCGGTGGCTGCTCCTCAGCTCCTCCCTCTGTACAAATCTGCTTTTGTCTCTGAATCCTCCCAAAGCGCCAGATTGCACCTGGAGAATGAAACTGTTCCTCCAGAGCAAACAAACCCCAGAGCTCTCCCATTTCTCCTCCTTTTTGCCTCAGTCTTGTGTGAAATGCCACTTGTGGTGTTGAATTTTGGTGGAAATTCCTGAAATTCCTGAAATTGCAGCTCCATGGAGCCCCCAGGTCACCCTGGCTCCCCTTTGCTCCCCAGGTGTCGCACAGGTTCAGGGAGCTGATGAGGCTCTTCCACACCTCCTGTGATGGCAGCTCTGAGGATGAGGAGGATGCCACCAGCACCAGCAACACCGACCAGCTGTCAGACAAAGACCTTCTGCTTTCTGAGGAGGAACCTGATGACTGAGGTGATCAAGCTACTGACTGCTCCAGAAAAAGGATTTATTTTTGCTGCTAGACAGGTGCTGTGGAAAAATGTTTGCACAGGTACTTGAGACAGCACCTTAATTTTTTTTTTTTTTTTTTTGGTTCAATTTCCAGCCTGTACCAAACCAAAGGCAGGAATTAAAATGAGAAAATTCTTTAGAGCTCACTCCCCTGGGGAGTTTCAGCAGTGGAATAACAGAACTTGTGGACACTGATCTGGCCTTGGGGCCTCTGCCCAGGAACTGTAAATATTGTACCCTGAAATGTCACTTTTCACGTGGCTTTTTCTAAGTTCTCCCCTCTTGTGCTGATTGTTTGTGAAATAGTTACAGTCTGAATTTTCTATTTATTGTGTGGGTTTATTTGAGCAGGCAGAGCAAATCCAATTTGCGCAGCTGAAAAAAAGAAAATAAACCCAACCAAAAAGCAACTTTTCTCCTTTGCCACACAGCTGTGAGTAGGTGGAAAGCTCCACCCAGAAGATTTTTTTTGGTAATAAAGTGAGAAGAAGGAACGGAAGATTTTTTTTGGTAATAAAATGAGATGGGCATCTCCAAAACCATTTCTTTATTGTGGGAGCCATCTCAAAGCCACTCCCAGTGTGGATTAGTCTGAATCTGCTTCATCCTGGCATCCATCAGCCGCAGACCCTGTCTCATAGCACTGGGCCAGGCTCCTGAGCTCCTCCAGGGCCTCCTGGACGTCGTCGAGCTCCAGCCCGGCCGTGCAGGAGCCGCCCCAGCGCCGCGGCCGCAGCTCCCGGCACAGCCCCGAGAGCAGCCCCAGCAGGGCAGGGCAGCTCTGCAGGGCTGCCAGCACGGGCATGCTGCCAACAGCTGCGGGGAGACGGGCACGGCGAGGGTTAAACAGCGCCAGGCATCGGGCACGGCGAGGGTTAAACAGCGCCAGGCATCGGGCACGGGGAGGGTTAAACAGCGCCAGACATCGGGCACAGTGAGGGTTAAACAGTGCCAGACATCGGGCACAGCAAGGGTTAAACAGCGCCAGACATGGGGCACAGCGAGGGTTAAACAGCGCCAGGCATCGGGAACAGTGAGGGTTAAACAGCGCCAGACATGGGGCACAGCGAGGGTTAAACAGCGCCAGGCATCGGGAACAGTGAGGGTTAAACAGTGCCAGACATCGGGCACAGCAAGGGGTAAACAGCGCCAGACATCGGGCACGGGGAGGGTTAAACAGCGCCAGGCATCGGGCACGGCGAGGGTTAAACAGCGCCAGGCATCGGGCACAGCAAGGGTTAAACAGTGCCAGACATCGGGAACAGCGAGGGTTAAACAGCGCCAGGCATCGGGCACAGCAAGGGTTAAACAGCGCCAGGCATCGGGCACAGCAAGGGTTAAACAGCGCCAGGCATCAGGCACAGCAAGGGTTAAACAGCGCCAGACATCGGGCACAGCAAGGGTTAAACAGTGCCAGACCCTCAGTCACCAGCCCAGCACAGCGAGGGTTAAACAGACATCAACCCCTCAGGCACAGCAAGGGTTAAACACCACCAGACATCAGCCACCACCCAGGCACGGCAAGGGTTAAACAGACATCTGGTTATTGATAATTTTGGCCATTAATAATCCTGGCTAATAGCTCTGGTTATTGATAATCCTGGTTATTGATAATTTTGTTATTGATAATCTTGGTTATTAATACTTTTATTAATCGATAATTTTGGTTATCAATAACCCTGGCTATTAATAATTTTGAATATTAATAATCCTGGTTATTAATAATTCTGGTTATTGATAATTGTGGTTATTAATAATTTTGGTTATTTGTAGGCCTGGTTATTGATAATCCTGGTTATTGATAACTGCGGTTATTGATAATTTTGGTTATTAATAGCATCAATAACCAGGTTATTTATAATGCTGGTTATTGATAATTTTTGTTATTGATAATCCTGGTTATTAATACTTCTATTAATTGATAATTTTGGTTATCAGTAACCCTGGTTATTAATAATTCTGGTTATTAATAACCCTGGTTATTGATAATTGTGGCTATTGACAATTTTGGTTATTAATAATTTTGGTTATTTATAAGCCTGGTTATTGATAATTGTGGTTATTGATAAATCCCAGTTATTGATAATTGCAGTTATTGATAATTTTTGTTATTAATAATATCAATAACCAGGTTATTTATAATCCTGGTTATTGATTATTTTTGTTATTGATAATCCTGGTTATTAATAATCTTGGTTATTGATAATCCTGGTCATTAATACTTTTATTAATTGATAATTTTGGTTATTAATAATCCTGGTTATTGATGATTTTGGTTACTGATAATTTTGGGTTGTCATTGATAATTCTGGGTTGTTATTGATAATTTGGGGTTGACATTGATAACTTTGCGTTGTCATTGATAACTTTGGGTTGTTATTGATAATTTAGGGTTGTGATTGATAATTGGGGGTTGTCATTGATAACTTTGGGTTGTCATTGATAACTTTGGGTTGTCATTGATAATTTGGGGTAGTTCTTGATAATTTTTCCCCCTGCCAGGCCCTGCTCTCTGGTTCTTGATAACTTTGGGTTATTATTGATAGCTTTGGGTTGTGATTGATAGCTTTGGGTTGTTATTGATAACTTTGGGTTGTTATTGATAACTTTGGGTTATTATTGATAGCTTTGGGTTGTTATTGATAACTTTGGGTTGTGATTGATAGCTTTGGGTTGTTATTGATAGCTTTGGGTTGTTATTGATAACTTTGGGTTGTGATTGATAGCTTTGGGTTGTTATTGATAGCTTTGGGTTGTTATTGATAGCTTTGGGTTGTGATTGATAGCTTTGGGTTGTTATTGATAACTTTGGGTTGTGATTGATAGCTTTGGGTTGTGATTGATAACTTTGGGTTGTGATTGATAGCTTTGGGTTGTTATTGATAGCTTTGGGTTGTTATTGATAACTTTGGGTTGTGATTGATAGCTTTGGGTTGTGATTGATAGCTTTGGGTTGTTATTGATAGCTTTGGGTTGTGATTGATAGCTTTGGGTTGTTATTGATAACTTTGGGTTGTGATTGATAGCTTTGGGTTGTTATTGATAACTTTGGGTTGTTATTGATAACTTTGGGTTGTGATTGATAGCTTTGGGTTGTTATTGATAACTTTGGGTTGTTATTGATAACTTTGGGTTGTGATTGATAGCTTTGGGTTGTGATTGATAGCTTTGGGTTGTGATTGATAACTTTGGGTTGTGATTGATAGCTTTGGGTTGTGATTGATAGCTTTGGGTTGTGATTGATAGCTTTGGGTTGTGATTGATAGCTTTGGGTTGTGATTGATAGCTTTGCGTTGTCGTTGATAACTTCCCCCCTGCCAGGCCCTGCTCCCTGTGCAGTTTCAGGGCTGTTTGTTTGTTCCTTTGTTCCTCACCTGCTGAGGCCGAGCCCCGGGCTCTGTCCTGGAGGAACCCCCGCGCGCTCAGCAGAGGAGAGAAGAACTGAGGGAAGGGAGCCTGGGTGTGGCAGGGCTGCTGCAGCACGAGGGCCGTGCTGTGGGGAGATCAATAAAGTCACCAGAGCCCCCCGAGTGTCCCCTGCGCTGATCCAGCTCCCCCTGAAGCCCCAAACCCACCTGAAGGCTCCAGGGAACCGGGAGTGCAGGTACTGCTGGAGCAGCTGCTCAGGGCTCTCTCTGTCCCTGCAAAGCAAACCCAGCATTTCCCAGCTCTTTTTTACCTGTTTTGCTCTAAAACCAGCAGCATCAGTCCCTGGACCGCTCCTCAGTGGATGTTCCCATCCCGCAGCAGGTGCAGCTCAGGTGCTGGGTTACCTGCTGCCTTCCTCCCGGCGCATCCCCCGCAGCACGGCACACTGAGCAAAGCAGGAGCTGAACTTCTCCTGCTCCTTGCAGGAGGACAGGAGCTGCCAGGGCACGTCCTGGTGGGCACCCAGCACGTCGGGCAGCGAGGAGCCAGCCAGGGCAGGCAGGGGCAGAGCTGCCCAGGCAGCCACAACCTGATTCGGGTGACAGAACAGAGGCTGGGACGCTCTCCTGGCACAGCCGGGGCCGTGCAGCACAGCTGGAAGGGCCCCTCCTCATCCTCACCTTCCTCCCAGAGAAGGTGAGCGAGTCAGCGAGGTGCAGCATGGAGGCCTGGGAGGAGCAGAGCCTGTAGGGAGCCGTGAGGGAGTCGAGGGCTGCAGCCAGAATGGCGCTGCTGTGGTAGCTCAGGGATGCCTGGGGAGGAGACAAGGCAGGAATCGCAGGACAGCTCAGTTTGTGTGTTTAAATTAAACCAGATTGTAAATCGTGCCTTTAGAAGAGGTGGGTTGTAAATTGTGCCTTTAAAAGAGGTGGTTTGCAGTTATTTCATGGTTGGGATAAGCAGCCAGGGTGGAACTGCAGCTCCAGCCCAGCTGTTGGTTAACAAATTCTTTGCTGCCACTTTTCTTATCTTTTTTGGCTCCTTAAAGCTGCAGTGAGGCTGGAGTTACTCCAAACATGGGGAATAACTGTAGTAAAGCCTTTTCCTCAGTGCCAGCACCCACCAGAAAGCACAAGGGCCAAGGAAATGTGTTAATATTTTCAAAAGCAGGAAGAAAATTACAGAAATGAAAAGTTGGCGGCTCAAAGTCCCAGTGAAAAAGAAGGAAAAGGTCTCTGCTGAGCAGAACAGCACCAAGAAAAAACCACCAAAATACAGAACTGCGGGAAACACTGAGAGAGGGGTGAAGCTGCAGGAGCTCAAGGCCAGCACTTACATTGTATTTTATGTATGGAAATGTCACAGGAGGTTCTGGCTTGAGTCCCAAGCTCCCATTGAGTGACAAAGGGCAGAAGAGAGAGCTGTGACGGGACAGGTGGGCAATGCCCAGGGCTGTGTTCATCAGTCTGTAAAAACTCTTCTGAGGGTCCTGGGGGGGGAAAAATCCAACAATTGGAACCAACAAGAACCTGCCAAAGCCAGGCTGGGCTCTCTCAGTGTTCACTCACTCCCACAGCACTCAGGACCGGAGTCAGGCCCCAGGTGAGGATCCCCTTGCGTGAATATTCATCGTGGAGCAGCTCTGTCACCTTGGCACCAACCCCAGAGAATCCATTGTGGAGGTCACAGAGCACCTGAAACCCCTGTGGGAAACCAGCAGCACCTCAGATTCTGCTTCAGCTTGAGCAGAAAGTTTCCTGGAAGCAAAGGGAGCTGGGACAAGGTGAGGACCTGGAGGTAATCACACTCCTCAACAAAGAAGTGCAGCCGATCTTCCAGCTCCTCCACACAGGCAGGGTCCTGCAGGAGGCTTTCACCTTGCCCAAAGCCTTCGAGACAGCCACAATCCCTGAGGGAAAAAGGGGTAAAGAGGGGTTATTTTATCCCTTTTATTCGCCCTTAAAGGCAAATCTCAGCCCTGTTTGGGTTCAGGAGCGAAGCCCTGGCCGTACCCATCGTGCAGGTACTGCCGGATCACGTGGAGACTCTTGGGGTGCAGGTTCACACTGAGGTAATCAGACCAGA